CTCGGATTTGTCAAGTTGTATCTTAAAGTTGGAGTCTCGTAACCTTTGAAAAACACATCTCAGTCTCTCTAGGTGTTCTTGTAACGATGTAGAAAAAACGATTATATCGTCCAAGTACACTAGACACTTCTCGTTCTGGATTCCACGTAAAATGTTATCCATAATTCTTTGAAAAGTGGCTGGCGCGTTTTTAAGCCCGAAGGGCATGCGCAGATATTCATAATGCCCGTTTTCCGTATTAAAAGCTGTTTTTTCTACGTCCTTGTCATCCATCTCTATCTGGTGAAAGCCACTGGCCAGATCAAGAGTAGTAAAATACTGGCATTTTCCCAGTTTGTCGAGAAGGTCAGTTATGTTGGGGAGAGGGTACTTATCATCAACAGTTTTTTCGTTGAGCTTACGATAATCAACCACCACTCTCCACTTTTGTTTACCCGAAGCATCAGACTTTTTTGGTACGACCCATATAGGAGACGACCAGGGGGAACTACTTGGTCTTATAATATTTTGGTCCAACATTTTCTTGATTTGATTTTCTACCTCTTGTTTATGAATGAATGGATAACGATAGGACTTTGAATATACTGGTAGTTCGTCTACAGTTTTTATTTGATGTTTAATACGGTTAGTAAAAGTTAATGGGTCTTCATCATTATAAAATATATCTGCGAATTCTTTACACAACTTGAGTATTTCATTACGTTCTTCTTGATTTAAGTGATCTATTCTGATTTTCGATACATTCAAATAGTCATTAGGAAATTCTTCGAAATTATGAAGTTCTGCTTCTTGAATATGATTACGATCAAACTTTTCTACGAGTATAGGCTCCGAAAAATCTAAAGTTACATCATCTACAGTATTATTCAGGATAGTTGTCAAAGCATACCCGTTTTTTGCAATTGTGAGGCATTCCGGTATTTCACAGTTGTGAAATTTGTGGTGGGGAATGATTATCTCGCCATTACTTATAGATGTTTTTATTCTGATAATTTGTTCCGATCTAGCATCGATTTTTATTAAGTTAAGGTCCGTTTGTGTTTTTTGAAAAAGCAATTTTATTTTTGAGTGTGGCGTAATCAAATATCCTTTATCGAAATCAATAGTTGCTTGTAACGATTTCAAACTATCTAATCCAATCAATCCTCTGAAGACATTATGGAACTTGAATAGAAAAAATTTCAAGGTTTTATTCTTTTGCAAATTGAATATTTTTGAAGCGGGAATGCACGCACTAAACTTATGTGCCGACTTTTGAAATACTGTAGATACGACAAATGGGTCGTTTCTTATTAAGCTAGGAAAAAACTTATGAGCTATATCTGGGTCAATGAACGATTTCGTCGAACCAGAATCAAGTAAAACTTTTATATTATATTCGGGTAAAATAATATATGGTAATTCGCTTGCATTAGTAGTATCAAATGGAATGATATGTGACTCTAAGCTGGATTGGTGCTGTGATGGGATTTCTGAAAATTTTCACTCGTACCGGCAGCATTTTCATTATCGAAAGCTTGTTCCTGTAATGTATAGTCATTTTGTACGTTATCGTATTGTTCTTCGAAATTTTCATAATTTTCCTCTAGTTCTGTGTTGTTTAATTCTTCTGAAGCAAAAGTTCTTCTATTATTATCGAATGATCGTGAATTTTGATAGTTTTGGTTATTTTGTGCAGGTCTAAAAGTATTTGTAGTGTTTACGCTCATTGGCGTAGGCCTGAAAGTATTTCTAGTGCTCACGCTCATTGGCGTAGGCCTATCAAAGCTACTATTAGGGTTTGGTCTGAAAACATTCCTATTTTGTTGATTGTTTCGACCAAATACTTGAGCATTTGTGAAAAATCTTTGTGGGCGATTATTTTCTCTAGGTTGCACATTGATAGGTTGAGAAGGGAATGACATATTTTGTGAATGTTGGTTTCTGAATTGATTATTTGGATTGTTGAAAGTATCATTTGAATAATTATTAGAAAATCTTTGTTGCGGTGATTGCCTTGTCGAGATATTATTTTGTCTCGGCATTTGTCTATTTTGATGCATATTCTGAAAGTAGTGTGTATTGTCTTCTTGGATAACGAGTTGCAGGGCCTCGCTTAGACTTCGAGGTCTCATACAACGTATAGTGGTACCTAGTGGTTCTTTAAGACCTGATAAAAATGTTTTAAGTGTTAATTCGTTATACAAATTGCGTTTCAGAACTTTCGCTTCATGATTTGCTTCGTGAATATCTACATGACTACAAATCAGGTTCAGGATTTTCAGGCATCGATCATAAAATTGCTGTGGTCTTTCGTTTTGACTTTGTCTCAACATTACTAAGTCCCTATTGAGACAAGCTTCGTCTCGTTGATCAGCGAAATTTCTCTGAAGTGTTTCTTTCAGATCATTCCAATTAGTTGCTAGCTGAATATTTACAACCAATCTAGCATTGCCAGTCAGTTTAGATATAAGAGAATTCAATAAGTAAGTATTATGGAAACTACCAGGATTAGCAGCATCATAAAAATTTGTAATAATTTGATCACAAATTGAAATATATCGATTTAATTCATTTGGATTCCCGTTGAATTCGGGGATACAGTTCAAATATTCAGATTTGAATTGATTCATTATAGGTTCGGTTTTAAATAAATTTTCGGGAGTACGATCAGTTTCAGAGTCAGTTGAAGGATCACGCAAATTTATACTTTCAAGAATTCTTGATAAATCTTCGATAGACATTCAAGTATGTACTCACAATAATAATAGAGTTACTTCAAGCATATCCTTCCTAATAGGTATAAAGATGAGTCCTGGATTTGCGATTCCTGTCTCCTCCAGAAGTTCGATCTTTGCAGAAATGGACGATATGGTTCCAATTCTCGATGCTTCGTTGATGTAGGGCTTCAGACGGGTCTCTGCCAGACGGTCCTCTTCAAACACCTCCACAACGAACCAACAATTTTCGATATCCAGTCAATCGTTAAAACGAAATCACCACGTTCGATACGCGATAACCCGGATATCCTACCGACTGCGCCAATAATATTTCCGATAGCTCGAAGTCCCTTTTTAAAAACTTTATTTTTCGTATACACGTATGATTGACAAATTATGTACAAGAGATGTTTAACATACGGAGTTGAGTTAAGAACTGACTGCAGAACGGCTCTCGCTGGGTACACGACGATCTTGCTGATTTCATGGAAACGGTGGATTCAGGGAATCCAAACTGTGGGATCAGCAATGTCAGCATCTTCTTGTGGGAACCTATGTTGAGTGGCGACATAATTTACGTTTTCCATAAAATTGACGACGATATGACATATTTCAGTATGAAAGCAGGTGCATCAACATAATTTTCAACTAATCAGAACTGGAGTTCACAAAAATCTATTTTTCTTTTGAATAACTTTTTATTATTGAGCAGAATCCTACAAATCAGATTTCATCAAGATAATGCCTTTTGAGTAAGCAAACGTTCATGATATTGCTTCTACAGTGGTAGAGCTTTTTAAGTTGGCAACTTGGAGTGAGGCCCATTGAATTACTTGATATCAAATAAATTCAAGTTGGACATTGGCAAACAATCTGTATTTCATAATGAAATAATTTTATACAATTCATTACTGAATGAATTGAAAAATATACATGATGTAAGAAGATTCAAACTCAATTTTAAACAATACAATATTTTCTTGATATTTATTTATTTACTTATTTATTTATGGATACAATACATGCAGCAGGCCCAAAAGCCCATTTACAGGTGTATATAATTAGCATTATGAATAATTACACATATAACAGAATCAATTCTGAATGAAACGGAGAATCTCTTTTTTGAATTGTTTGAAAGTTAGAAAAAAAAATCTACACTAGGGACCCTATGAACACTTCTAGATATAGTAGATATGGGAGAATTAAAATGATGCACTGTATTGGAAATAGGAATATGAATGTGATTCAGAACCTAGATGAAATACGCGGTACATTGAATAGCATATGAGACAATAGGGGTGCACAAACTATTTGTCCATGTATGATTTTATATGCAAAACACATATCACGGCTTATCATAGCAATAACCTCTCTCAGGATACACACCATGTTTTTTGAAATATGCATATTTCAAGAATTTCCTTTGAACAATTTTTAGGCTAGATATGTTTCATATGAGAAGGATTCCAAACAACACTGCAGTACTCTAATTTGCTCCTGATCAGTGTGTGGTTTTCAAGGAGTCAAAGGTCCTAAATTCCTTGCAGTTGCGTATCAAAAAACCCAATTTTTTCACTGAAGTTGATATCATATTCTGAAAATGATTGGAAAACGTGAGTTTTTGATCAAACAGAACCCCTAGATCCTTTGATTCCGTGATCCGCGTTAAACTTTCATCATCTAGTATATAGTTGAATGTTACTGGTAGGATTTTACGAGTGAATGTCATGATTTTACATTTATTTGTATTCAAGTATAATTTATTACGATTGCACCAATTAGTCAACGAATTCAAGTCCTCCTGCAATGTGAAACAGTCTGCTTCACTTTGTATTTCACGATATATCTTCATGTCCTCTGCAAATAACAGTTTATGAGAAGTGATGCCATCGGCTATGTCATTTATAAATAGAATAAATAATAATACCCCAAGATTTGACCCTTGTGGGACACCCGAACTCGCAACAAAGCAGGAGGATTTTATATCATCACATTCAACATAACATCGGTCGGATAAATATGATTTCAGGAGCAACTGAATATCGGGTGATATGCCAAAGTCAGACAATTTTATTAGCAGTTGTTGATGTGATACACGATCGAACGTCTTACTAAAATCCGTGTAGATAACATCAACTTGATTTTTATTATCAAGTACATCAGAGACAAATTCAAAATGTGTTCATGTATCTATATTATAAACATATATGGTTCTTCGGATAATAAAGACAATCAACCAATCACTACTCTTTGAACAATAAAGCATATCAATCAATCAATCAGGTGGGCCAAACTCACCCGTCTCCTTGTGCACCCTCTCTACCGCCCTGCGTTGCCAGTCCGTCCAGTACACGTACTCCCCCATCAAGCTGAACCCGAACACGTGCGGCACGTCCCGCACCAGCTCCCGCCTATCCCCGCCGTCCATGTCGGCGTGCTCGATCACGTCCAGCTTGGCGTCCCCCCAGTATATCCTCTTCCTGTCGCAATCCAAGGTGATGCCGTTGGGCCATTCGATGCGCTCGCTGACGATGGCTACGCGTAGGGTACCGTCGAGGTTGGATCGCTCGATTTTGGGGTCTTTTTCGTTCCAGTCGGACCAGAACAGCCAGCCGAGGGCGGGAGCCACCGCGATCGCTATAAGGACGTTAGAATCTCAGACTGAATAACGATAGCACCATGGTCCATTCATAAGTCATTGGAAAGTATACGCAAACAATCCTAAACGTCGAACACGGATGAATGAATATAATCACGAATGGTGAACTTCGATATTTGATTTCATGTTTATTTGCAGATCTGAGAAGGAAAGTGTAGATACTTGTCACTGAATCAGAGAAAATCATCCAGTCACGACGAATCGAACAAAGAATCCGCAAAATGGCCAGAGAATACTTTACAGAATTCAGATCATTATATTCGTACAGAAAGCGATATATTGATATCCATTCCAGATTCACAAGGAAACAGATAAGACCGATATTCACCTTTACGAGGGGAGAGTATCAACTCGGCGTTAATAAACCCTATCTGCAAAGGAGGTAGGCGCATGGTGGGTTAGGTATATACAGTGTCCTTCATTGCAGAGAAAATTGTTGTTTATCTGCCTGTCTCGTCTTCATTGAGATAGTTGATGAATTGATGAATCACAAAAATATATCGCGTTCCAGTTATGAATGTTGAAAACAATATCCAGACTTTTCATAGATTCATATTCCATGTAGGTCTCACGATTCAAATTTGAAATTGATACTTAGTTTCAGATCTGAGCAGCACATTGTTTGGCCATCAAGGTCCTTAATATAACCCACGTAATTGAACATGTGAAAGATGCCTACTGGAAAAACCACTATACGGAAAGAAAGCGGATATGTAGCAATCTAGTTACGGACGTTGAAAATGATATTTAGGTATGTCTCAGATTCAACATCTATGTATTTCCTCTAATGATATTTTCTGATTCAAATGTACTTCGATTCAAATGTGATGTTTATTTGCAGATCCAAGAAGCAGTGTTTGATACTTGCCACTCAATCGGAGAAAACCATCCAGTAAATACGGACCGAACAGAAGATCCGCAAAGAGAACTGACCAGAGTATACTTTACAGAATTCAGATTATATTCGTACGGAAGGCGATATATTGATATCCTTTCCAGATTCTCAAGAAAACAGATAAGACAGATATTCACCTTTATGTCTCTATGGAAACACGACAGGTACCCTTACGAGGGGAGAGTATCAACTCGGCGTTTATAAACCCTCTCTGCAAAGGAGGTAGACGCATGGTGGGTTAGGTATATACAGTGTCCTTCATTGCAGAGAAAATTGTTGTTTATCTGCCTGTCTCGTCTTCATTGAGATAGTTGATGAATTACAAAAATATATCGCGTTCCAGTTATGAATGTTGAAAACAATATCCAGACTTTTCATAGATTAATATTCTATGTAGGTCTCACGATTCCAATTTGAAATTGATACTTAGTTTTAGATGTGAGCAGCACATTGTTTGGCCTTCAAGGTCCTTAATATTACCCACGTTATTGAACATGTGGAAGATGCCTACTGGAAAAACCACTATACGGAAAGAAAGCGGATATGTAGCAATCTAGTTACGGACGTTGAAAATAATATTTAGGTATGTCTCAGATTCAACATCTATGTATTTCCTCTAATGATATTTTCTGATTCAAATGTACTTCGATTTAAATGTGATGTTTAGTTGCAGATCCAAGAAGCAGTGTTTGATACTTGCCACTCAATCGGAGAAAACCATCCAGTAAATACGGACCGAACAGAAGATCCGCAAAGAGAACTGACCCGAGTATACTTTACAGAATTCAGATCATTATATTCGTACGGAAGGCGACATATTGATATCCTTTCCAGATTCTCAAGAAAACAGATAAGACAGATATTCACCTCTATGTCTCTATGGAAACACGACAGGTACCCTTACGAGGGGAGAGTATCAACTCGGCGTTTATAAACCCTCTCTGCAAAGGAGGTAGACGCATGGTGGGTTAGGTATATACAGTGTCCTTCATTGCAGAGAAAATTGTTGTTTATCTGCCTGTCTCGTCTTCATTGAGATAGTTGATGAATTACAAAAATATATCGCGTTCCAGTTATGAATGTTGAAAACAATATCCAGACTTTTCATAGATTAATATTCTATGTAGGTCTCACGATTCCAATTTGAAATTGATACTTAGTTTTAGATGTGAGCAGCACATTGTTTGGCCTTCAAGGTCCTTAATATAACCCACGTAATTGAACATGTGGAAGATGCTTACTTGAACATGTGGAAGATGTCTACTGGAAAAACCACTATACGGAGAGGAAGCGGATATGTAGCAATCTAGTTACGGACGTTGAAAATATTATTCAGGTATGTCTCAGATTCAACATCTATGTATTTCCTCTAATGATATTTTTTGATTCAAATGTACTTCGATTTAAATGTGATGTTTAGTTGCAGATCCAAGAAGCAGTTTTTGATACTTGTCACTCAATCGGAGAAAACCATCCAGTAAATACGGACCGAACAGAAGATCCGCAAAGAGAACTGACCCGAGTATACTTTACAGAATTCAGATCATTATATTCGTACGGAAGGCGACATATTGATATCCTTTCCAGATTCTCAAGAAAACAGATAAGACAGATATTCACCTCTATGTCTCTATGGAAACACGACAGGTACCCTTACGAGGGGAGAGTATCAACTCGGCGTTTATAAAACCTCTCTGCAAAGGAGGTAGACGCATGGTGGGTTAGGTATATACAGTGTTCTTCATTGCAGAGAAAATTGTTGTTTATCTGCCTGTCTCGTCTTCATTGAGATAGTTGATGAATTACAAAAATATATCGCGTTCCAGTTATGAATGTTGAAAACAATATCCAGACTTTTCATAGATTCATATTCTATGTAGGTCTCACGATTCCAATTTGAAATTGATACTTATATTTTAGATCTGAGCAGCACATTGTTTGGTCTTCAAGGTCCTTAATATAACCCACGTAATTGAACATGTGGAAGATGCTTATTTGAACATGTGGAAGATGTCTACTGGAAAAACCACTATACGGAGAGGAAGCGGATATGTAGCAATCTAGTTACGGACGTTGAAAATATTATTCAGGTATGTCTCAGATTCAACATCTATGTATTTCCTCTAATGATATTTTCTGATTCAAATGTACTTCGATTTAAATGTGATGTTTAGTTGCAGATCCAAGAAGCAGTTTTTGATACTTGTCACTCAATCGGAGAAAACCATCCAGTAAATACGGACCGAACAGAAGATCCGCAAAGAGAACTGACTCGAGTATACATTACAGAATTCAGATCATTATTTTCGTACGGAAGGCGATATATTGATATCCTTTCCAGTTTCTCAAGAAAACAGATGAGACAGATATTCACCTTTATGTCTCTATGAAAACACGACAGGTACCCTTACGAGGGGAGAGTATCAACTCGGCGTTTATAAACCCTCTCTGCAAAGGAGGTAGACGCATGGTGGGTTAGGTATATACAGTGTTCTTCATTGCAGAGAAAATTGTTGTTTATCTGCCTGTCTCGTCATCATTGAGATAGTTGATGAATTACAAAAATATATCGCGTTCCAGTTATGAATGTAACAATATCCAATATTCTATGTGGGTCTCACGATTCAAATTTGAAATTGATCCTTAGTTTTAGATCCGAGCAGCACATCGTTTTGCCTTCAAGGTCCTTAATATAACCCACGTACGTAATTGAAAATGTGGAAGATGCCTACTGGAAAAAAAACTATTTGGAAAGAAAGCGGATATGTAGCAATCCAGTTACGGACGTTGAATATATTATTCAGGTATGTCTCAGATTCAACATCCATGTAATTCATCTAATGATATTTATTTTCTGATATGAATGTACTTCGAATGATATGTGATGTTCTGTTGCAGATCAGAAAAGCAGTATTTGATACTTGTCACTCAATCGGAGAAAACCATCCAGTCCATACGAACCGAATAGAAGATTCACAAAGTGAACTGACTTGAGTATACTTATGGTGACTAGTTATGTTATATACTTGGTATATTATGATTTGATAGGCTGACATTGATTTGTATACATTGTATCCAGAATTTGGTGACCCCGACGTGATATTATGGAGCAGTTGAGCGAAGGCGAGATCATACAAACTTTAAGACATTTCAACATCCATGTTAGTGATTCGATGGAATTTTCGGATATGAAGGAAATGCTGCCAGAGTACATTCAAACAACTTATAAGGACCAATTCCACGAAGCCGACTACAGGAGTATTCTTTCAGAGATTTCATCAAGAATCATACCAAATGATGTTTCGAATACTATTTTTACGAAGAAGATCGATAGACTTGAAGAATTGTGCGAAATTCTGATCGTCAAATTTGATGAAAATAAGATTCGTTGGAAGCAAGACTCGATATTTTGGAAAAACATCGTGAAAGTTCATCATTTCCAAACAATATCATGCCTCATGACATCATCTCCTCAGAAGAAACATCAACTGGACATTCCGAGAAAGAGCAAGAATCAATTAAATCAATTAACCTACCAACTTTCTGGAAACATGAGCCTCCATTATGCATTATGCAAATAGATTTGGGAAAGTGATTTCAATGTTGGACTGCAATATTGCTCTGGATTGGTTTTTTTCCTAATATCCATTCGTCTCAAACACACTGTGTATTTTTTAAATATTCATCGATAAAATTTTATACTTGTATGAGTCTTTTGATGTTATCTACGGGAATAACTGACCAAATTCAAGTTAATATGGCTAACATGGTAAGGCACATACCTTGTGCCTTGTAGCAGTGTGAACATGTTAAGATAATTTATGTTGAAATAATATAATCGAAAAAAATGCAAATGATGAGTATGAAAGTGTACTTATCTTACCTCTAGGATCAGTTAGTTTATCCATGATGATTACTTTCCGGAAGCCTGTCTCTAATCTAGCGACTTCTATCCTGTTTGTCCCAGTGTCAGTCCAGTAGATATTGCGCGCCAACCAGTCCAGAGCTATACCCTCTGGATCCTGTAAGTCGGTGGTGACAACATCTTGCTTGTCACTGCCGTCTAATCTCGCCCTTTGGATTTTTTCCACCTGGTGCAAATATTTCTCAATAAATAAAAATATTAGCATCATTTCAATATAGTGTAGAGAGGCCAAATCAGATGATTTGCCCCAAAATGCAACTGTGCTTAAAATTTTCTCAATAGGAAGCTGAAAGGCAATGAACAATGAACATGTTGAAGTCGCGGTAAAAGAAATAAAAGCATAGATGAAAGCGACGATTAGAGCATTTATATTGGAGAAATGGTTCAAGTTGATCATTTCACTAGCTTCTCGCGACTGTCAGCTAAATGTTATGAGCATTTGTTTTCAAATTTGCATTTAAAAAGGTCTTGAACATCACCTAAGATACCCAACATATATTTAACCTACCAAATTAATGAATGTATATTTGTGTCTCTTAGATCCCACTGGTGACTTTAAGTACTTTTTTGTTTTCAATTCGTTGGCATCCATTTTTTAGCATTCTTAGCATCTCAATGTCAGTGAATAGTGAAGAAATAAACACTTTCCCGCACATATCGCCGGTCTGTAAAATCACTGCCGCTCCGTCGTGCACATAAACACGTGCTCTTTATTTCATGACTTCACTAGTACCACAGCTTTTGTTATCAATGATAGATTCAACATGTTCGCGGCCTAGCAATATAGACGATGAACCATCCCGTTGACAATAGGCTACTGGACTGATAGTAAATATTTGGCATTCAATTACTCCACTGGTCGTTAGGGACCTAAATAAATTTTTGGAACACTTCGCACGCGTTTTTAATGTAAACAATGTGTCTATGCCTTGTTCTAAATTTTTGAATTTCAAAGCTCATTTCGAACGTGCCATCATGGCCAACATTTGGCCATGTTCTGGGATACGTCAGATACATCACGTCAGTTGTTATGATGTTTCCTTATTGGTCAGATAATCGTCCATTCCACTCATGAAGCAAGGTTGTGAAGCCACCAATTATAATCAGTTTATTGAAAAGTTGTTCAAGTCCTGTCGTTGAATGAAACTACACCCAAATTGAATATTTCATTTGTCCTGATAGGAGAAATCCATGATATAATAGTGACTTTTTCGAGCCACCAGCTTGTTGAAATATTTCTTATATAAATGATGGCAAGGGACTAGGCAATGCTGTGCTGAATGCTGAGAACTGACAAGACAACGACTACAATCCTGTGTTGACACGTTTACCGTACCAAATGTCCTCTGGTGTGAATTAATAGGAAATAATATAAGTATTATTAACCCAAATATATTATAATTATAGTTGATTAAAAGAATATTACCAATACATAATTGGGAATATATGAATTATTGAATGAATAATATTCCTAAAGTTCCCGATCGAATTGAAACATATGGAAGCTGTGCTTCTGCCTGCCCCTACTTCCAAAACTGTGACGTCGGTTGTTATTCGCCGTACATTTCTAGTAATTTGAAAGTTACCGCGGCATTATTCTATTTAAAATAAAATGATAGATCACTTACCTCCTCGTCGGACCAGTAGATGAACTTGTCGACAGGATCGAAGTCGACGGCTGCCCCGTATTCGACATGCCCCACGGGCAGCGCTTTCCAGCCGTACTCGGGCGAATCGAGGTAGACCAGGCAGATCTCGGTGCGCTTGGCCAGCAGCAGCATCTCCTGCGGCGCATCGTGGCAGGTGGAGCGGTCGAGCAGCTTGATGCCGCCCGGGCAGGCACAAGCGAAGCCCGGGGCGTCCTGAGGGACGTCAGGGGGAAAGAGGGTCAACACAGGAACTATATTTTACGATACTACTGACTGTGGATGATTTCCGAATTCAACTGTCAATAATGATCTGAATTTTGAATGAATAATAATAATTTATTTCCACTTCGACAAATAACATTGTATGGGTATTGTCAATATAATATAAATCAGTAGAAGAACATGGAAAAAGAGTTAGAGAAGAGAAAATAGTAATAAAATAGAATCGGTAGACGTAACTTTAGGATTCCGTCGGTAACTTATGCCTAGATCAAGCAACGCGTTTCATCATTTTTTATCAATAACTTTTTTATACTGCGTAATGCAGCTTTTTGAATGATTAAAATTCTTTGTAAATAGCAATTTGATGCATTGCCCCATATTAGGGCTCCATATGTTAATACAGAGTGGAAGAGTGCAAAATATGTTGTGCGTGCAGCTGATTCGCCCAGTGAATAACAAATTTTCCTGATAGCGTACACTGTTCTTGAGAGTTTTTCACACAATATATTTATGTGTTCCGACCATTGCAACTTCGTATCTAATACAACTCCCAGGAAATTGACATGGTCGTTTGAATTTTCAGATATAACATTTTCAAAAGTTTGACTTTGACTTTTACTTTCATTTAATAGCATATTATTGTGCTCGAACCAAGCCCTAGCCTTCTTCAAGATAAGTGAAAGAACAAGTGCATTATCTTCTTCTTTTCCCAATTCAATGCCAAACGTTGTATCGTCCGCATACATAATGGTTGATGCGTTTATAAAATTCATAGTATAAGGGAGATCATTTATGTAAATCAGGAACAGGAGGGGACCCAAACCTGATCCTTGCGGTACTCCCCTATTCACAGTAGCTATATCACTTCGTTTTTCGCCATTAACTACGATTTGCTTTCTTTCATGTAAGTATGACTTCAATATGTCTAGTGCTTTACCACGTATTCCGTAGAAATTAAGTTTTTCCAGTAATATATTGTGATTCACACGGTCAAAAGCAGATGTCAGATCCGTAAAAACGGTCAAATATTTTTTACTGTCATTGAACGCTTTTTTTATAGAACTTGTTAAGGAGAGTACCGCATCAGCAGTGGACAGCCCCTTCCTGAATCCATATTGTTGTGGAGATATAATTTTATGAATATCCAAAAAATATGTCAAAGCTGAGTGTATTGCCATTTCCCATATTTTGGAGAAGACTGGGAGGATAGATATATGTCGAAAATTACTTGGCAGCGACGGGTCTCCTTTTTTATATGCAGGAATTACTTTTCCCATTTTCAATTTTTCTGGAAAAACTCCTTCGTTGAGGCAAGCATTGATAATATCTGTAAGAGGTTTCAATAGATGAATTCCAGAATGTTTTATAACAAATGTGCTGAAACCGTATATGTCTTCTGTTTTTTTGGATTATACCTAGACAATACCTAGAACAGTTATATTGAGATATCGATCGGGTCGAATTCTGGTGTTCGAATATCTGGATTCACTTGGGTTTCCCAAACTTCTTGGTTAACCCAAAATAGACTGGTGAATTATCAATTTCATTATGCGAAATTTTTCGTGAATCCGAAACAAAATTCCAATCGCCGCTACTATTCGTTAAATTCGAATAATATTGGTGATCTAAACTTTCAGTCCAAACAAAAAATCAAAAAAATTTTATAGGGGTCAGCCACCTTGAAATATCAACCGGTATACATTTTTTTCATGTATATTTTCTGATTTTATATTCGATATTTCTTTGCGTTCACTATCTATCAATACTTTTGCCAACCTTTACCTGAGAGATGAGGCATAGATGCGAGCATCCGCCGTTGTTCATCTGACATGGGTGGGACTGTTTGGGTTGCATGGATTCGTCCCACACCCTGATGCCGGTAGGGTGGGTACTCGATATAAATTCGTTCGGTTCTTTGTGGTCCGTGTCGTAGACGTAAATACCTCTGAAAGAATCAGCAAAGCTTCAACATTTTGTGTTTGTATTTGCTGACATTTCAATATTTCCCAAAAGTTCATAAAACATAAATTTTTGAATGCTTTGAACAAAGTATCTCCTATTGTAAAAAAATTGTAAAATTTGTATATCGCTACTTCGAAGTTACAGCTTATAAATATATATCTATTCGGGGTACTGCAACAAAATCGGTTTTGCAACCTCTGAAATCTTTCCAAAATTAAGCCATAATAGGTATTTATGTATTAAGGGCGTAAAGTATACTCTTATTGCGCTAAAGTGCTACTTCACTGCCCTTGGACTACTTTACCGCCCGGCGAATAGGTAACTTGTAATAAGCATTCCTGTATAATTCAGGACATTTATGTTTTAGTTGTGATGGTTCATGTATCATTATCTGGTATTACAGTTCTCTTGATATTCCTGAGATGCAAAATGATCTGATCGAACCCAAATTAAGATATCTGGGATGACATTATTTGAAAGCAATTATAAAAGTCTACTCCTAATTAAAAAAATTAACTGAGTTACCATGGTAGCATTGATTCCGTCAACGATATTGATACATAAATATTATAAACTAGCATTCTTGGAATCAACATCTAGATTCTAGACTATACAAACGTGATACAAACCAAGGAATCTACTATATTGACTCATTCTTCAAAATGAGAGTATGCATTTTCATCCATTTCACTAAAAATAAGCATCACACCAGACAAAGTGATCATTTGTGTCAGAAGAAAAACACAATTTGTTGAAAAATCATTATATTTTGGTGTTGTAAATATTCATAACATTCTACCCAACAGAATTCGTGATAGAAAATAAGCGTACGCCACCTATCGCAGTTCTTGAAAGCTGTCAAAGCGGCCTGTTTACTTAGTTTTTATTGGTTCACCATTGTTTTTTGTTTGTGCTCACTGGTCATATCATGAAAACAAACCGCTCAGAAGTGTTTCAGTTGTTGCTGCCAGGAGGGGCGACCTCTACAAAAACTCACATTTTACGTTCTAATTTCCGAACGAAAAACCGACTATTTCCAAAAGCAAGAACTTTTCTTCTACAGACACTAACTATTCGTCCGCTGCATGGTTGCCAGTTCTACAAGTTGAATTTTCAGTAGATCTCCTTATTTCATTTCATAATCTACTGGAAAATATTTTGACACTTATTTATTATTATTAGATTTTTGACAAGGTATTTGCTGATGAAATGAAAATCGAACTGGCAAGCCAAGTCCGCGCGTAGAGTGAGTTGACAACAACTGTCATTTGCTGTTGTCAAATTAATTACTCACGAAATCCGATAGATATCACGTGTGAATAGGATTGCGATGTGAATGTAGGTGTTTGAGCTCACCGAAAAAAATTCGATATTAACCTTGGCGAAAAACTGTCTATTGTCTCGCCTGATTGCTAGCCTCGGCTATCAATTTGCAAACTGGACTATAATAGACGGTGTTTCGTCCTCCATGAATAAATAACTATTATGAGAGTTCATTTAAAAACTTCTTCTTTCCTGTTTGTGATCAGGTGTTCAAAGAATTATTCAGTTAGGTTAATAGTTTGGACGGAAAAAACAAAAATGAATATTCCTGAGTTGCATTCATTAAAAAGAAAAACATAGACAGGACATCCATATGATAAAGTCTCACAAATATTCCCTGGATTTTGAGATTTTTTCTAATTCTCCTAATTAATGGGAAATTTCATCCCGAAAATTGATCAAAAAACTAGAAAAAGATCAAGTATGCCACTTTGGAATAATTTGAATGATTGAACTCAATGTGATTGTGCCTTTCCCAAGGAAATTTGAACAGAGGTGACTTCAGGATTACTACAATGTAGAACCTTTGGTGGAAAAAGGGATCTTAGCCCAAATTTCATTTTGATCCCTATATTTTTTCTATTTGTGCCATTAGAATGATATACATATGTTCAGCTTTATCAGGATGTGATGTTGAGCTTCATCAGGGTGTGAAATATTCGCATTCATTTCAATGCCACCCTGTATATATTCAGTATGAAATATTAAGTGATGCTTCAGTGCCAAGCAAAGATTTGTTACCAATCTTTCATCTATCATTATCATAATTTTTCAAAATTTGAAATATTTCAATGAAGATTACAATCACCATGTTTTTTACAAATTTTAAACCTTTCCCTAGTTTGTTTTGAGATTTTTCCTTCTTCTTGTCTATTGCATGATGAAATAACTTTTTTGTAGAGTTATTTTCAAATAACTCCAATTCAACCTGCTCTGATACATAAAAAAATGACAAGATATTGGTTAAACCAACTTTATAATTAGATGATGAAGGTTAAAGTTGAACACTTCCATATCTGAATTTGCTATGATTATTATGAGTTTGCCGAAATTATTATTATAATTATTATTATTATTATTATTATTATTATTATTCATTTATTGAATCAAGTAATCCATATTTCATTTTGTAACTCCTTCACATAGGTCAGTGACCTGTGTGTGAAAGAGATGAATTATTTCACATATAAAATTGTTTTTCCACAATATAAATACTTAAACTGAAAACAAATAATCAATTCATACAATAATGAGAATAAATTGAAATAAAGAAAAATAGAGTTGATTTAAAATGATCATCGATTTTTTTCACATTATCTTTACACCAACTTTTAACTTCTTTTTTGAAAGTTATGATATTTAGATGTTTTAATTTTGATGGTATTCCATTATAAATTTTAGATCCAATAAAACTAGAATGTTTTTCTAAAATTCTAAGCTTTTGTTTTTCAAGTCATACATTGTTGATTTTGTTTCTTTTATTTGTTATTGCTGGATTCTTTTTAATAAAGATTATTGACGCCTTATGGAAAATATTCTGAAAATAATGATGCTGATTGATAATCGAATGATTCACACAATATTATTTTCAAAACATATTTTTGAATAGGTACATAATAAAGGTATTACATGATTTTCAATCATTTTCATACATACCACCCCATCCAATTATTCAATATGATGATATTATAATATAGATTGGAAAAGAGTGTGATAAAACATGATTATTAAATGTCTACACAATATTTTGCAAGTCTGAATTTTGAAATGGTACTTCTCAGTTTCTTTGTTAGTTCTGAGACATGATAATTATTCCACTTCAAATTTTGATCAATTTATATACCAAGATATTTGTTTTGAACTCACTTCAGATATTTTACTAGTACATGAACAAATTACTGGTATTTTGGATACATTTTCAGAGCAACTCTGATCATGAATTGTCAATTCTGTTATATATTTTGGTTGTGAATCATCATAATCTCCTTGACTAGGTATGTTACAATTAGCATTTCAGATTTAATTTCACATGAACTCACCCAGTGTTCCAATCTGTCCAGTAGAATTTTGATTGAAATTTTGTTAGGGCATAAGGATGGACCAAACCCTTGTCAAGAACTTTAGTCAGGTTTTTGCCATTGAAATCCATTTTCTTGATGAACTTCAAAGTTCCATCTACCCAATATACAGTGTTAGTTTCATAATCAACTGCTAGTCCATTGGGCCAATTAATCTTATCTTCAGACACTAAAACTTTTCTAGTGGAAGGATCACCATCCATTCCAGCTCTTTCTATTTTTGGTGAATCACCCCAGTCAGTCCAAAACATGAAACTAAACAAAATAAATGCACATGAAAAATAGTTTTCTCTCCATTGTTCCTAATCTTGTATTCACTTCTTGGGATCATAGAATATATTATTATATTTTTATGAAATTTTCAAGGTTTAAGCTCAAGCAAGGAACCAGTATGAACATTTTCCAAGTATTTATAAATATTGAACCCCATGGTCAAAATGTGTTCTTGAAGTAATGAATACACTAGTATGCATTAATCACAACACCAAGTTTGTTTAGTTTCTCAATTTATTGTAATTTATTCACTCACATTCTATATTTTTATTATGATGTGTGTGAACATCATGGTGTGATTGATCAAAAAATCAAATTATCAAAGAAAAATCATGGAAAATATCATTTGGAAAAAATGATAAAACAATTTCTAATAGGTAATATGGCATTAGTAGTAGAAATTACCCTTCTCTAGGAGCTAGGGCAATAGCTCTTGGTTGATCAAGATCAGTCCAAAATAAAACTTTTCTATATTTTCCTTCAATAGTGGCAACTTCTATTAGTTTAGTTTCACTATCAGTCCAGTACAGTTTATTTGTAACCCAATCACAGGCCAAGCCATCAGGAGTAAGTACATCATTAACAATTTCCACCTGAAGAAGGTATTATTTAAAATAAAAAGGAAATAATGAATTTTGTTTTATTTACCTTGTTTTTCACAGTTCCATCTTTATAGTCAATACCAAATATGGTTTCATTTTCATGGTCAACCCAAAAGACTTTTCCCAAGTCATAATGGAAATCTATAGCTGCTATAAATGTATAATTTTTTACCAATGTGACAGATTTACCCCTGCTATACTCTCTTGAAGAATTTACTAATCGAATATCCTCAGTTGTTGAGTATAAAAGAAGAGGGGTATTTGTAACACTTCCTAATAAATGAAAATATATCAGACATTATTCAGATCTAACAAACACACATTGAGATCTTGTGAAGATCCAAGAACTTCTGTTCCATATACATGATACATACCTTGATAAGAGAAGTGTATAGAATGGGCATGAATTAGCAGAAAAAGACAAAGGCAGTGAGGGAATAACATTTGAATGTTATCTTAGATCAATTACATGGTGTTAAATTTTACTGTTCAGTTCAAGAGGTACTCAGCACATAGCGTTAACACCAGTGAAGAAAAATCACATGTTTTCCTTGTTTTTTCCTGATACTGCATTCATGTCTGCAATTTCAAATCCAGCCAAATACTTTGTTTTCAAGAATTGAAAACGCGCGTATTCTTATGAAATTGTCCTTGTAGACTCTACATAGTTATTCCCTTGTTATTCCAGGCATTTTGTTATGTTATAACTAATTGTATGAAGAAAATATGAGAGAAAATAATAAATACTGGAAAAAACAACAAACACAACAAAACCCTTAAAAGAAAAAAGTAACCTACAAACATTCACAATTGACATTTGACAATTGAATTGACATTTGCATTCGACTGACAGTTTGTTTGACTCCTTTCAGCAACACAGAACCAGATATAGAAGCATAGAAGTGACAAGTGATAGAGCTGTTATATTCTGTGGATAGAACAGAACAGAATATTTCGAACGACATTTGACAATATGACATTATTGATTGACAATTGACCCATTGACCCATTGATTAAGAATTTTATGTTTTCTGTTATGCAGTGGCAAAGCAAAAAGCAAAGGCTCCCTTCATATTTTTAATTTTGTCTAGATTTTAATTTTATTTTAGCCAATGTTCAATGTTTCAATTATTAATAAATAAAGCATCATCAACTATAAAAATTTTGAAATGAGGACGAATGTACGGGCGTTAGAGATAACTGTGTCACAAAACGTCAAGGTGTGATTACATTTAATTAATAATTATTCAGTGCTTTTTAAATGAGGGCAAATTGTTTACCATCCTTTTTCAGTAATTAATGAACTATGTGGCCGACTTGATTGTGTGTGATGAAGTTTCTATGTTTTCATTGAATGTCAATAAATTCAGGTTATGCCCCTGTGAACATTGTATTTGGAGCAAAAGGCATAATATTTCCTGAGATGACTAGTTGGGCGGCTAGAATGCACAGGCGAGCTGCCACTTTCGGGAATGTTGTCACATCTTGCGGCCATCCTTCAGGACCATTCCCCCGTAGAATGGAAAAAGTTAAATTTGGTGTACCCCTGGAGGATGTCTGCAAAAATGATATTCCAGGACCTCTATTGGTAATGACAAGTTTCATTATATTTTATCAGCATTGAAGTAAAACTATACTCTTTCAAAAACTTTCAGGTACTTATATTGAAGTTGAATAAAGAGGCACCTTATAGGAAGGATGTCTTTCGTGCTCCAGGCCACCAGGGAGCTATGAAAAAACTAACTCATTTCCTTCAGACTGGCAGACTTGTGAATATGGATAATTTTAGTGTTTACACAATTGCCAGTGTGCTGAAGAAGTTTCTGAGAAAAGTCCCTGGTGGTATATTTGGTAGAGATATAGAGAATAGATTTTTCCAAGTTATAGAGATTCTTGATGTTCAAATACGGCAAGAGGAGATTCATAAGTGAGTTCAATAAGTTAAATGTTACATGATTGTATTTTATATAATTTGTTGGTGTCTACTTGGGGTTTATGAAGTAGATATTCAGGAGTTAACAATTGGGATTTAGTGATGTATTATGTTTATTCAATTATCAGATTGTGGAGGTAAACATTATTTATTACCATGATATCTTTACTAGATTTCAATGCTAGAGGATGATCTCTTGAGGAAGTATAATATGCATGTATCTAATATTCCGGTTCTATACTTTGGAAGGTTTGGAGACCATATTCTTCATAAATAGAGTATTTTGCCTTATCTTAGAAAAAAACTCATTGCTAGTCAAATTATTTGTTCATTGGTTCAAATAACAATCTGAAACAGGGTATACTGAAGTACATTTTCTAATTATTCCTTTATCATCTTATCTGGCCTTGAAGAACCAATTTAAGTTTCATGAGAGTACAAAATTTTGAATTTATAATGGGGTTGATAATAATGAATAATTTATTTGAATATTTGTAAAAATACTACCATGATATATCTTGTGTTATGTCATTGAACTCTGGGCATGAAGTTCTATGGAAGTAAATGCAAATATACCAGATAAACATCAAATTTGAACTAGATTTGTTAGCTGAATGAATTGTTAACCTATATTGAGTCAGAGATCCTGTAGTTAAGTAAATATGATAATGACATCATTTGGATTTTAATTCAATGGAATTAATTGTCTTACCCTCAACTGTCAAAAAACAAACTATATGCCATTCACATCGTACAATAACAACTTACCCAATCTTGGTCCACTCACTATAAATGATGAGACTATTATACCAGAAGCACACTCTGTTAAATATCTGGGAATCATGTTTGATAGACACCTTAGATGGGATATACAAATTGAACACATGGTGAATAAAATTCGCGGTCTACTATCACGATTCAAGTACCTTAAACATATACTGGATATAAACCATCTAAAAACTGTATATCATGCATTGGTGCAGTCCCAATTATGTTATGGAATTGTAGGATGGGGGGGAGTGAATGACTGTCACCTCCAGAATCTAGAAGTTATCCAGAAGTGGATTTTGAAAATAATTTACAATAAGAAAAAAACTTTTCCAAGTGATCGTTTATATAATGAAAGTAAAATTTTCGACATGCGGCAACTATATGCTTTTGCTATTCTGAAACGGTTTTTCAAAGTAAATAATGAACTTCCACTGAACAACCACACCCATGATACAAGAAACCGACAAACAACAACCTTACCTCGAAGTAAAAAAACTATAGGATGTAGACATTTTGCTTACTTAGCCCCGAGACTTCATAATAGGTTACCAGAAGAAATACAGAACATTTCAAAAGAAAAGCGGTACTTTTCAATATTCAAAAAGAAAGTGAAGTCATGGATACTATATAATCCGCGACAGTATATTCATAAATTTGTCAATCAAACACTGTGAATGAAATATAGTGAAATATGAAGTTGAAGAAAATTAAATATAGTATCATAGCATTAATTGTTCACCAACACCTATAATAATGGAACATAATCTAGAAATAAATATATATGTGTGTATGTGTGTATGTATATACAAATATATTTTAAATTAATTAATTTATTAGCTGATATATTTTGTATGCAATTTTTTGTTGTTTTTTTTTTTTTCTCTCTCATGATCTCAAAATTTTCTGTAGGCCTTTTGTAGTGCAATTTTATTTTCAAATTTTATTATAATATACTTATGCTGATTTTTGTCAAACTTACCAGCACGTACAAGTGGATCTGCCACTTTTGTGTTTAATTGTTTGTTCATTAATTGAGTGTTGTTTGTTAGAGTTATATTCTAGAATTCTTACTGAAAAATGTTGTTATCTCTACTGTTTAGTGTTGTTGTCGTTTTTTGAATAAACATTATTATTATTATTATTATTATTAATAATATTGAGTCTCAGTTTCTGGGTTGAACCACTAAAATCATATGCAAAAAAATCTTTTATCCCATGTATTTTCCAAAATGTGAGAATGTAAGAGAAATCTCTCCATGGTGAACCCTTTCCTATAATTTTAGGAATCTAAAATAAATGAATAAAAAAAAGTTTTGTAATAATTCTATTATAGAATATTAACTTCATTGCCTATTCATACCCAGAGGCTGTTAGTGCTGCTATTTGGGACATTCAGAGTAATAGCTTCTAATAGTGAAAGAGCAGGCACCAGGATGACTAGTGAGGCCCTGGGGGTCAGTGTGGCTCCAAGTTTTTTCCACTCCTGTGTGAGTGATGGTAAAACTGCTACAATGGAAGATGTAACAAAGTTTAAGGTAAGCCATCTAGAACTCCAAGCAACATAAATATTCTGGGTTGATAGTAGCTTCAACAATGTACACCAATCACACAATTGAACTTGAGCATTATTTGAGGAATTAAAAAAAACACATATTTTCATGCTCTTTAAGGTACTCAATTTTATGAATATAAGGTGCATTGTTAGGTACTGGAATAATTTGAAAAACCTGAAATATTCTTTTTACTCAATTCTCCCTTTATTTTTCATTACTCATGCTAATGGAATTACATTTGGCATGTTTATATTATTTAGTTTGAATATTTTAAACTGCATTTTATTTATATTAATTCCTAGAGCTATTATTCATGTGTTGATACTGTTAATAGCTAACATTTCCATGTAGTCACCATTTTGAATTCTTTTACAATATTATCCATATCTATACCAATAGTCAGAAATTTTAAATATCTTGGACAAACATTTAATAGTAAATCAAGATCCATAAGGATACATTCTTGAGGCAATCAGTAATCAATAAAGATTTTCAAAATAAAATGGAAATTGCGACCAAGGACGTGCCCGATTATATTTCTGTGGGACATCTGAAATGTGAAAGTTGGAATTTCTAAATTTCACCTACATACATACTTACTGACAGAAAACCTGAAAACGTCTAAGCCATAGCACTGCTTTTATCAACCGATTTTAAAAAACTAAAAAGCAAATAAAATATTCCAGTAGGCTCTGATCATATTTTCTTCAAATTCCAACTGTAAGGTGAGCAACTGTTAACTGTTTTTTTTTTAAACGACACAATTTTTTCTCATCGTGATTTTTTTCCGATAATAATGACTTTTAGACAAAATTAGTTGAAATCAAAAATGGGTGCTCAGTTGACAAGGCATAGATCTAATATATAACATTCTCCTGTCCCTGTCATAGTGTTAGTGGCCCAACTCCTCTGAATAGGAAATTCAAAATGGCGGATCCAATATGGTGGACGAGCTTTTGAATTTGGACCGATTCTATTCAAAACTGGTATCTGGGGGCTTTTCGGCGTCAGAGATTATAAATTCATTCGTCAAAATTTTGAAATTCAAGATGGCGGACTACTTTTGTAATTTTGGTCAGATTTTATCAAAATTGGTAACTGGGGGTTCTCGAGGTCGGAGATTATGATTTTTTCGACAAAGTTAGGAAATTCAAAATGGGGGATCTGATATGGCGGCCGAGTTTTTTTAATTACGATCAGATTCCATTCAAAATTTGTATCTGGGAATTTTTGGGGTCGGAGATTATGATTCTTTCGTCAAAATTTGAAAATTCAAAATGGCGGATCCAATATAACGAACGAGTTTTGTAATTATGATTCGATTCTATTCAAAATTAGTATCTGGGGGATTTTCGGGGTCGGAGATTATAATTCTTTCGTCAAAATTTTAAAATTCAAGATGGCGAGATGGCTATCAAAATTGGTTACTGGGGGGTTTTCAAGATCGGAGATTATGATTCCTTCGACAAAATTAGGAAATTCAATATGGTGGACGAGTTTTTTAATCATGATCAGATTCTATTCAGTATTGGTATCTGGGGGTTTTCGAAGTCGGAGATGATGATTCTCTTACCAAAAGTTGGAAATCCAAGATGGCAGATCCAATATACCGGACGAGTTTAGTAACTATATATGATCCGATTCCATTCAAAATTTGTATCTGGGGTATTTTGGGGTCGGAGATTATGATTCGTTCATCAAAATTAGGAAACTAAAGATGGGAGACGAGTTTTGTAATTATGATCCGATTCTATTCAAAAATTGTATCTGTAGGTTTTCGGGGTCGGAGATTGTGAAACACAATTTTAGCCAAACTAAAAAGAAGGAGAAAACAAAATAATAAAAGTGTGTTGATAAATATTTAACTAACAAAATATTTTCTAGAAATAAATGTATATAGCAAAACACCGTTTGCCGGGTATCAGCTATTGTAATAAGGAAACACGTTTTTCTAGATAGCCAAACTAAAAAGAAGTGAGTAGAAAATGAAGAATAGTTTGAAAAAATGAAGAGATATCGAGTGCCGAACTGAAAAGAAGTAGAAAATATATAGAATAATTTGAAAAACTAAAGAATCCCGCTTTTATGGATATTCAAACTAAAAATAAGTCGAAATAAAATGATAAACGTTTGCCGGATCAGCTAGTATTTTCATAAATTTTTGAGATGTATGGCAGAAAATGAATGTTAGTACATGTGATTTTTACTAGTCCTGTGAAAAAAATTGAACACCTCAAATTTCCACAAACTGATTGCTCCATGACATATGAAAAGATGATCTCCCCATCATTTCCTTATTAATAAAACACAATATGAATTTAATCTTGGATTGAAGTCACAGAGCAATCAGTAGCTGAACTGAAGGGAATTCGGTTCGCTATGAAAGTTTTTTTTTCGGGTATAAGGTGGCTTCACGTGTGATGAAGCATCTGATCGAGGAGTTCGCTTCGTCAGATCTCTTTGGCAGAGACAACTACGAATATTATGCGAGGGTGACCGGCAGAGTACTTCGAGTGCAAGGGGAATGGATATGTTCCTTCCAGTATCCCCCTCTAACCACGAACGGGGTATTTCCAACTGAGTGTATCGCCTTGGAACGCTACTTGCTGGGTGAGTTTTTCAGAGGTGGACAGAATGGCAATTTTTCAATTTTATCAACTTTTTGGGAAAGAAGGGATGATTTCAACGGTCTGTATATATCTATTTTGCTGATGAGAGAAAAGTAATGCTTTATTACTTATATAGGGTGAGTCATGAGGAACTGTACATACTCCTATCATGAATAGAGGCCCCTGAGAGTAATACCAAATGTCCATCAGAAAGTGTCTTCTTCACTTCTTTTCCGATATATAGGATGAATAAGGTTTGGCAAAAACATCTTTTGGTCATAACTTTCCAGCAGCTTCTTCGATTCGTCTGATTTTTCCATCAGGGTTCGGAGGATATACAGGGTCAGTCATTGAAATGGGAAAGTGAGATAACGGCTTCGCTGTTTCAGATTGATGAATACAAATTTTCGAGATGGTCTAGGCTCATGAGCAGCATATTTCTAAATCACTTTGTGTATACAGGGTGACTCAAATATGCGTGGCGTATCAAAGTTATACTTTTTATTATAGGACACCCTGTATTTTATTGCAATTTCGGATTCTACTTTGTGAGATGATTCCATCAATACATCACACTCGGGATCTAGCGGACATAATTACAGAGATATAGGGTGTTCAAAGTCAAGATTTTTCAACTTTTAGGATGTTTTGTGTCGAAACTATTAATTATTGGTCAGAACGACTCACATGTCTCCATCTCAACTTCTGATTCCCTATCTACTGATATTCAATTTGGACGAATACAGGGTAGTTCAAAATTCAGAATTATAAACCATCCTGTATTCGTTCAAATTAAATATCAGTAGATAGTAAATCAGAAGTTGAGATAGGGACGTGTGAGCCGTTTTGACCAATAATGAATAGTTTCGACCCAAAAAAATCCTAAAGTTGAAAAATCTCGATTTTGAACACCCTATATCTCTGTATTCATTCTCGCTAGATCCCAAGTGTGATGATGCTCACAAAGGAGAATCCTAAAATGCAATGAAATACAGGGTGTCCCATATGAAAAAGTATGACTTTGATACGTCCCGCATTTTTTAGTCACCCTGTATAACGCGAAATATTTTGGAAATGTGCTGCTCTTGAGCTTAGACCATCACAAAAATTTTTGTTCATCTATCTCAAACAGCGAAGCCGTTATCTCACTATCCCATTTCAATCACTCACCCTGTATATAAAGTGATATATATCATGATATATAGCAAATTAAAAATGTTTTCCACCATCCTAAACATCCGAAAATGTCTCAATACGCCACTGTACAAATTTATAACATATGATTTCAATTCTCAGTGTTATCTATTCGATTTGTTTTATTCTATTGATTTGGTCCCTTTTTTTGTACTAGAATTATTATCCGCCTTTGTCAGTATAGCTATTGAAAAATAATTGTGAATAAACCTTCATTTTCTGTTCGACTATCTTGAATTATTTGTATCGATGACCATTAACATCTATATAAACGGATACCCCATCCACTGATTTGTAGAAGATCTACAGGGTGATTATTACCCTCCACAAAAAATGAAATGACGAAATCCAGGCCTTGAAATGGAAGAACATGTTGATTTCCATTGGGCTAAAGCACTTATGTGAAATGTATGCGTTGCGAAGTAATTATTCTCCAATGAATAAATTTGTTGTCAAACTTTCGTTTTTGCTCACAATTTATCGTTTTACGAATAATTCTGTGGAAGTGCGAGGAGAATGTTGACTATTTCATTTTCGATGTGTGCGTTGAAAATTCCCTGTCACAGTTGACAGAAACCATATACAGGATGAACTTTTTGATTAAAACTAAACTATCGAAATTTTTCAAAAACGGCCCTGGAGTTTCCGGATTCTGGAAATGTCAGTCGAATAGGGCTCAGTTGAGGAATATTCTGTGAAAAAATCAGACGAATCGAAGGAGCCGTTGAAAAGTTATGCCCAAAAGATGTTTTTGCCAAATCTCATAATTCACCCTATATATTGGTAAAGAAGAGAAGAAGACACTTTCTGATGGTCATTAGGTATTTCCCTCAAGGGCCTATATTCGTGGTAGAAGTTAGTATGTAGTACAGGGTGGCCAACTAAGACTCCAGAGTTCGATTTCTCTGTTGTCTTGAGAGATACAAAAAAAAGTTATGTATCAAAATTGAAGTAATAATTGAGCTTCACATTTCAAAATTTCTTTGAAATACACAGGGTGTTCCGTAAGGTCACAGCACATCAAAGCTATGTTTTTTTTCATTGGAACACCCTATATTTTATTTCATTTTTGAATTCTCCCTGAAGATCTGATTTCAACGACCCATTAAACTTAGGGTCTAGCAGTGAAAGTTACTGACATATAGGGTGTGCAAAATCGAGATTTTCCAAGTTCAGAATTTTTTTCTGTCGAAACTGTTCATTATTCGTCAAAACGGTTTACATGTCCCTATTCCAACTTTTCACTCACTATCAATTGGTGTTCAATTGAAATTGATACAAGGTGGTCAAGAAATCTTAATTTATAATTTGTTTCAATTAAATGTCAATTGAACACCAATTGATAGTGAGTGAAAAGTTGAGATAGGGACATGTAAACCGTTTTGACGAATAATGAACAGTTTCGACAGAAAAAAATCCTGAACTTGAAAAATCTCGATTTTGCACACCCTATATGTCAGTAACTTTCACTGCTAGACCCTAAGTATGATACGTCGTTGAAATCAGATATAGAAATAAAATATAGGGTGTTCCAATGAAAAAAACATAGCTTTGATGTGCTGTGACCTTACGGAACACCCTGTGTATTTCAAGGAAATTTTGAAATGTGAAGCTTGGTTATCACTTTAATTTAAATGCGAAACTTTTTTTTGTATCTCTCAAGACAAAAGAGGTATCGAACTCTGGATTCTCAGTTGGCCACCCTGTACAGTTCCTCTTGACTCACCCTGTACATTGAAAATTACATTGGTGGAGGTGATGATGGATTTTGATATAAATGCCATATCTGTTCGTACTTCAAGTCCATACCAATATCAATTCCCGAAAAGTTTTTTTTTTATGAAAGTATCTACTTTTTGCTATTATTTTCTAAAAGTTGTGACATTTATCGTATGCTTGGTTTTTTATGTGTGAAAAATGTAATGCCAGTGTTATGAAAATAGAAGTTGAAAGGTGAAACACAGACATTTCAAGAACAAATAACTCTGTGTTTTGCTGAAGTACTTTGTGGATACATCACCTATGCTATGTTCTTGACTTTTTTTAATCTATTGCCTGCAGTAATTTCATGGAAACTATGTAATACATTTGCAAAAGCAGAAAAATGGATGAGACAATGACAGTTATTGAAGGAAGAAAAAATCGTCTAGAGATTTTTTCTTTCGAATTTTTCAACAATTCGAGATTTCTTTCTATTATCGGTTCATCATTGTGACTATTTTTTTACATCTTCAAGCACTCTTGGTATTGAGGAAAAATTGTTTATTTGCAACTTTGCCCCAATTTAACCATCTTCATATCCTTATAGTTTCGCAGATTCCAATAATGAGGATCTAATTTGAAACACCCGGTATAGTTGTGTTACTAAATACAGGGTGATTCACATAAGAACCGACATAGAGCAGGCGCATGTAGGGGGTCCCAAAACATGGCAATTTAACGCAACTTACCTCTATACCAAGTTGCTCCCCTGAGGAGTTATAGGCTTTGAAAGTGAAGTTATAAATTTTGAAAAAAATCAATATCTCCGTTATTCTTGAACTTGAAGCAACCAAATTTGGTACAGTATGTGGATGTGTTTAGGGCGTTACTTTACAGTAACAAGAGCTCAATTGAAATTTGTAAAGGGGGTATACCGGGTGGCACACCATTAATATTCAACAAAATTTTGTTTACCCTTGATGGATTTTAAAAATCTTCGCGTTGTTTTGTGGCCAATTCAATTCTTAAACTTTTCTTAGTCTAGTAATTTTTCGAAAAACCTCATCATTTTCATCAAAAACTCGAATTACTGAAAACGCGTGCTCTAGGTGTGTTATTTGAAATCATCGAAAATTCAAAAGTTGGCTATGAAAATAAACGTCAAACTTGACAATGAAGCAAGTAAGTTGTTCAATTGAGTAATTTTTCGATAAACAATTGTTTGTTCTGGTTGTTGTTTAAGTTTTTTGTCTTTATTTTGGTTAGCTGTTAATCCGAGTTTTTCACATTTCAGTATCTTACTTTACGTACTTTGTTACGTATCTAAATAATAATTTGCCAGCCAATTTCTACTGATCACAATTAATGACCTACTTTCTTGTTGTACGTTTATTTTCATAGCCAACTTTTGAATTTTCGATGATTTTAAATAACACACCTAGAGCGCGCGTTTTCAGTTATTCGAGTTTTTGATGAAAATGATGAAATATTTCGAAAAATTACTAGAGCAAGAAAAGTTTTAGAATTGAATTGCTCACACAGCAAAGCGAAGATTTTCGAAATTCATCGAGGGTTAACAAAATTCTGTTGAATATTAATGGTGCGCCACCCGGTATATCCCCTTTACAAATTTCAATTGAGCTCTAGTTTCTGTCAAGTAACGCCCTAAATACATCCACAAAGTGTACCAAATTTGGTTGCTTTAAGTTCAAGAATAACGGAGATATTGATTTTTTTTTTAAATTTATAACTTCACTTTCAAAGCCTATAACTCCTTAGGGAAGCAACTTGGTATAGAGGTAAGTTGCGTTAAATTGCCATATTTTGGGACCTCCTACATGCCCCTGTTCTATGTCGGTTCTTATGTGAGTCACTCTGTATATTATTGAAAGAGGTAACTCTTTGACTAACTTTGAAATTATGCTAATTATGATCATTAAATAATCTCAAGGACACCCATTGTGTTTTGAGTGCACCTACATCAAAATCAAGGGACAAATTAGGTTTCTTCATGTTTTCTCGAAAACGGTCTGTCCAATTGAAATTATACAAAAAGAACTTTTTCATTCAGATTTGGAAGCTCTTCCTTATATTCGCGAAATATTGTGAAAATGTGTAGCAACGTTAAGTGTCAATTTATTTGATTGAAAATAAAAACTTCATACTTAAGATGATAACAAATATTCTGGCTTCATTAAAATACTCGAATTGGGTAAATACCATCATTATGTGTCATTACCAAATACCCACAACCCACATGTGATATAACACTGACTATATTATAATGTGAATGTAGAACAAGGTCCTCTTTGTAAATAAACAAAATATATTCATGTCTACAATTGAATTCCCACTTTTGTTTCTTATGTTACATAATGCTCTACATGAATACTCCTCTTCCTTTTTCCTTCAATCTTGTTTGGGTAACAGTTGAATTTCATAATATCATTTATTTTGAAGAAAATAGTTAATTGTTTTACTAGACACAAAAGGACACGGCATTGAATCTTCTTTTCTACCGTGTGAAATATAGTTTTTCTCCAAATGTCATAAAACCAATAATTTCTTTATTGATAACTCTATTATTTTGTGTTCAACCAATGTTATTGGCACTTTTGATTAAAATTAATTATTGAAACGTTACATAGCAATGAACATTTTCTGCCTAGGCAGTAAAAATACACTTTTATGGCTGTTAAGTGTCATGGAAAAGCCACTTTCAATGTCATTCGGAGACAAAATGAATCCTAAGCTTTTGCTGGTGTTTTACGTAGTTTCTTGCTCCGACTAACATTTGAGAAGACATATTTCTTAAAGGGCAATTGTCAATGGGTAGAGAGACATGGCTCCAATGCGAAAATAATGGCCACTGGAAGTCTAGTCTTGGTCTGGAAGGTAATATTGATGATTCTGATGACGATAGACACATTAACACAAACACCACATTTTGAAATAGTTTTATTTAGATATTAAAACCCAGTATTTGTTCGTACAATTTTAGTACCAAAAATGTAGTTTACACTGTGATATTTTCGAATTGAATTTACAATAAATCAATTAATTTTTCTGTTTATTTTTCATTTTGTGTGCGTTTTTATGTTTTCCATTCTTTTATGATAAACACGACGTCCCGCAATGTTTTATGTTTTTGAAAAACTCAAAAATAAAAAAATGGTGTCAAGCTAGTTATTTTAATCAGAATTAGTCAGGGTCCAATAGTTTCATTATTGATTTTGTGATGATTAGTGTGATATATATTTGTGCATGCTAAAAATTCTCTGCCAAATAATTGAATGTATCAAAAGATGATGAACTTTGGTAATAAGTAATGAAACAATAATAATATAATAATTATTTATATTCATTTAGGGTTGTCCAGTTTCCAAAATGGGTATTTTTCATCAATGAACTCATTAATTTTTTTTTGTATCAATAGTCCTCAATGATCATTCTCAAAATGGAAATTTTCTAACAAGAAAATGTGTTTTACTCTCTTTGATTAGCTCATTAGATCAGTTTGGCTGCTCTGCGGATATGAATGGAATCACATTGAGCATTACACGGTCTATAACTTAGAGAATTCCACTCAAAAATATGATTTCTTTACTACCCATTTTCAATCTATTACTGAAGTACATCATCTCTAGCCAAATCGCTTTGTTTTCTCTCTTAATACAGCAAAAGGAAGAGAAGCTTAATATGAGTTTTTTGATAATGTTGAATTCCGAAGGTATGTACTTTTTCAAGTTTTTTTTTTCATTCATTAATCGCATAACAAACCTAACCAATTAATTCCAGTATCAGCACCTCCTCTTTTTTTCAGCACTTTCTCAAGTAGAAGAATGTCAATCAACTCCTGCTCTGTTAGAGACAAATCCACAAGTGGGGTCTACTTCCCTCAGAATGATTGCAGAACATGGGCTATTGGATTCTTGTACGAGGTTATCTATATCACTTGAGCAAAATGGACTCTTTCAGGTGAATTTCGTTCGTTTCTGCTTCAAGTCAAGCTCAGATCCTAAAATTGATGTGAATACACAAAAGATTCTTTCTAGGGTACCAATACATCACATTCTTCTAGTACTAGTCATTCTTCTAGAGTGAGTCAAATTCATCCTGGGCTTAAGATGACGTTAGATGAACTCAAAGCTGTCAACAAATATGCTGAGAGTACAAGAAGTTTGAGTTATTTGCCACAGGTACACAATTTTTCTTTATTTCATCTATCTATGGTGGAGACTTGGAGAGGTAGCTCAGAGCCAGGAGAAGGTTATAAGATATTTTTTATTCCGGTACCATTAAGAAATTCAAGATGACGAATCTAATATATCGGACGAGTTCTGTAATTATGGTCCGACTCTATTCAAAATTGGTATCTGGGGGTTTTCGGGGTCGGAGATTATGATTCTTTCGACAGAATTTGAAAATTCGGGCGGAATTTGGAAATTTGACATGGTGTAACCAATATGACGAACGAGTTTTGTAATTATAATCCGATTCTTTTCAAAATTGGTACCTAGGGGTGTTCGTGATCGGGGATTATGATTCCTGCGCCAAAATTAAGAAATTCAAGATGGCGGATCCAAAATGGCGGATTTTGTAATTAGGATCCGATTTTATTCAAATTTGAAATCTGGTGGTTCTTGGGGTCGCAGATTATGATTCTTTTGTCAAAATTAGTAAATTCAAGATGGCGGACCCAATATGGCGGACGAGTATGGTAATTATGATTCGACTCTCTTCAAAATTGTTATATGGGTGTTTTCGGGGTCGGAGATTATAATTCTTTTGTCAAAATTTGGAAATAGCGGCATTTGGGTATTCAAGATGGTAGAACCAATATTCAAAATTTGTAAGTGGGCGTTTTCGGGATACAAAATTATGATTTCTTTGTCAAAATTAGGGAATTCAAGATGGTAGATCCAATATTGCGGACGAGTTTTGTAATTATGTTCCGACTCTATTCGAAATTTTCATCTGGGGTTTCAGGAGTCGGATATTATGACTATGAATGAAATCAAGCCCAATTCGTCAAATAAATATTCATGATGTTCACAGACTAGGAATATAAACCTAGTAAACCTTTAGTGGACCATTTTTCCATCATGATTGCCATGGGTTTAATTGTATTTTATGTTTGCAAAATATATGCAAATATTCCATTTCAATGATACTGATTATCTGAGGTTTTCTTAATCAATATTTCCCCGTTGCTTCTTTCCTGACGTATGTAAGTCAACGTGTATGTAGCCGAATTCTCTTTCTTTTTTCTGAGAGAAATTCGAGGTGGAAAATTGATTGGTTTTGATTTTTTGAAATATTATCGAAGATAATTTAGGCTTATTCTGATTGTGAATAAGATGAATTGATTTGTATTTTCAAAATTGAAGTTACAGTACTTGCCTAGCATGTTGGTCAAGTTTTTGAACTAAATAAACATTTTCCAAATGAAATCAAGCCCCATTCGTCAAATTAATGTAATTGTTCAAATGTTCACATACTAGGAATTGAAACCTAGAGAACCTTTAGTAGGCCACTTTTCCATCATGGTTCACATGGGTTCAATTGTATTTCATGTTTTCAAAATATATGCAAATATTACATAATTATCAAATATACTAATAATTTGGGATTTTTTAAGAATGTTTTCCTGTTGCTTCCCTCCTAAGCTATGTAAGTCAATTTATATATGTATAGCCATTCTTTTTCTATTTTCTGCGAGAAATTCGAGATAAAAAATTTATTGGTTCAGATTTGTTTAGATTATTCTAATCATATTTTTCTTATTGCTTACTTCCTAAAGTTTCTTCTGGTGGGAACCACCACTGACATAACTACTATCCAGACCGCTATATGTCATTTCTCAGCAACAAAAAAATCCCATTCAAATTGCCCGAAAACGCTTCTGCTCAATGCGCAGGAACTAACAAACTGTCATTTGTAACATCGAGTCATGTCTCTTGGTGTTCAAAAATATGAGTAAGAGTGAGTAAGATATATGACAGGTCCTGAGTGAGCACGCTTCATCAAACCAATTTCGATATAATAAATAATAATAATAATAATAATATGTCTTATCTATTTCCTTTTATATTATTCTTCAATACAACCAATACAGAGTAAATACAATCACTAACCCTGAATATAACAATATAATATATGATTGAAGAAAAGTCGAGGTGTACGGTGGACATGATGTGAAACACGTCCTAATACACCCACCCACCCATACCTAACCGTGATACAAAACAAAGAAATCAAAAAAAAAAGTACTTTCATTCAGGCTGTGTCAAGTCTGTGGTTTGACCGGGCACATACGTTCAGTATGAAGTCTGACCATCGGTTTGAACAACCAGCTGTTTGGGAATATCGGTCACGTTTCAAACCTGCCCACAAAGAGTCGAGTTAACCATTGGCATCAGGCTCATACTATCCAGTCGACTTAATAAGCCTAATATCTTATATACAATACCTAATTAACAACATACTTATACTACACTTTATTTCATGAATGTGGCAATAGCGTTCTAGTTAGTAATCTTTATCGGTGGGGACTGTTATCTCAACTAATTTTTCGTATGTTGATGTAAATCTAACTAGGATCTAGAATTATGTTGAAGAATGGTGGCCAAATGACCAAATATTTTGAAGGTCCATCAAAGACAGACTGAGCGAATGAAAACGAGGTCCCAGTGGTTTTTGGGGCCGACCGTTGAATGTTCCAACTGTGGAGGCTCCCTAGACTTACCTCTCAAGGATGCTGATGTGACTGCGCTAGCTAATGTGTTGCTTAGGAGATCGTCTTCCGGTACTATTGGTGAGTACAAATTGGAGTTTTTTGCAAAGTTTTACTTGTTTTCTAGTCGAAAAAGTGATATGCCCGATAGCTTAAGTAGTTCTCTCCACTTAACTTTGTCAACACAAAGATTTTCACTTAAGTCTTAAGTGGTAAAATTTGAAGCAGCTTAAAAAGAATACTTGGTAGCTGTCGCGTGCACATTTGACATGATGACCGACCCTGAAGATGAAACAACCTCACTGTCCTTATTTGTTTACAAAGGATTGAAATAATTCTTCACAATTATTTTGCCATACGAATCGTGTTTTTTGAGCTATTTATTAATTAAGCATGCCATATAACGGCCAGGTAGCAACGTATTAGAACTACAATGCATAAAAAATGCAGGGACAGACGAAAGAAATAAGATTGTTCAGGTAAATTGTGATCTAAAAGTAGGTACTGTAGTCACTCATACAGTGTTAATTTAAGAGTTTTCCCATTTATCTTTCGCCACTTCTGCAATAGAAGCTAATAGAGTGAAAATGTCTGCAACACAAACGACCATATTTCGCCAGCATGTCAGGCCATTCCTCCCGTTTGATTAAACGAATCCAGGAAACTTCACAAGTAGTTCTATCAGCGCGAAGGCCATATTGTCTATCATTGATTATTCCTGAGCTTTCCAGATATTTGATAAGCTCAATGTTGATGGCTTTGTCCATCACTTTGGAGATTTCTGGCAATGGGCCTGTTGTTGGTCAGGTGTTTGTTCCCATTTTTTGGGATTGCTTGGACTAGCTATCTTCCAGTATGATGGAAGAATACCGACTTTGTACAAGATGGTAAATAAATTGCAGAGAATAGTAGTCAATTCTGGTGCACATTTTCTGAGGATAATGGGTTAAATTCCATCAGGACCGTTAGCCTTCTTCGTTTTGAGACCAAGCAAAATACATCGGATAGTGCGTTGACGGAAGAAGATTTCAGGCATTCGACTTTCAATGCCGAGCGGCACTTTTCCATAGGAATTTTAAGTAGACTTTGCTGCAAACATATCTGCAGATATATTTGCTTTCTCCTGAGATGTTGTTGCTAAAGTGCCTTCAGCTTTGGAGAGTGGTGAAAATGAACTATTGGTGAAATTTGTTCTGACATAATTTCAAAATCAAAACTATGTGAGTGACTACAGTACTTTTACACCACAATTTACCTACCTGAAATAGTTGTTTTTACACCAAGGTAGTAAAGAATATCATTATTACCCAGGGACCAAGATTATATACGGAGTCTTCAGCCGAGGGGTATAAGGGATAATGACTATCAGAATAGTTGATGCAACGAGTTTCCAGCAAATAACTTTTGATACGATTAGAATTTCGATGGGGTTGTAATTAGAAAAAAAGTTTGTTTCTTATTCACGCATCGAATGACATGAAAATATACAGGGGCTCCAATTTGAAATAAGAAAATTGTATTGCTTTGAAATTTGAAAATTGTATTGCTTTGAAATTTGAAAAGTTTGCATACCTTGTCATGATTCGTGTCAATCAAACTCGGTTAGCGATCCTCTTAGGCCTTATTTGATATGTATCTCTCATGATTCTATTGAGCAGGCACTCTCTTTTCTGTTATTACGGTTTTTTACCAGTGTTGCAAAATTGAAGTGTTTTGTTATTTTTTTTTTTCGTGAAGTTCACTGAATCGATTTTAATTAAATTCCAGCAGTATGTAGGTTACCACTAGAAGCACTCAAATGTGCAACAAAATATCTGGCATGATATTTAAAAAAATATATCATTATGACGTCACACTTTTTTGGGACACCCTCTATATTATCGATAAGTTCGATATATCGATAAATATCGATGTACCGATAAATATCGATAAATATCGATATATCGGGAAAACTCGATAATTATCGTTATATCGAACATATCGAAACGCTTCGATAATCACTTGAGTCGGACTTTTTTGAAGGAATAAGAAAAGTATCAACAGTAACATCACGATGTTCTGATTATTCGAGATAATTCTGTCGTTTTATTGTTTTAGAAGTTGTGTTGCTTGACGGCATTATAACTTATGTCTGCAATTTGGATATCACGAAAGCGTCTAAGAGTCACACAATTAAAATGAGTTTATTTTTACCGATATATTGAGGGAAAATTGATAGTTATCGATAAATCGATAATTTTATAATCCTTATACAGAGAAGTGCACAAAAACGGCTAGAACTGTAACTTTTGAATTATTCGAGATAGGGTTTCAAAAATTGGTGGGCAGCTAGTATACCAAATGGCTCATTATATGACGAAACAATTTTTGTTCTATCACTTCTGGTTTTACTGGAAACAACCCCAACTTTTGATTTTTAAATGGGACTAAGAATTGTTTCATCAATTGATGAGCAATTTGATATCCTTGCTACCCTCCAATTGCCAAAATCCTATCTAGTATATATATATCTAGTATATATATAATTCGAAAGTTACAATCCTGGCCGTTTTTTGAGCACTTTTCTGTATACCAATATATCGATGGTTATCGATATATCATAATATATTGTTATATCGATTTTTTTGTCCAGGCCTATTCTGCACCCAATGTATTTATGTTGCCTTCTTACTCGCATGTGTTAACCAGAGATAAACTTACACACAGTGGGTAGACACTCCACCAGTTCCTGCCAATGGAATTCGCTATCAGACAATTTCCAAATCATTGTGCATCCAGAGGCGCCAATAAATTTTCTTTTTTCAGTTGGCATTGCTGGATTGTCTTTGAGTGCTGACTCTGTACAGAGAAGACCAAGTGTGAAGAGGTCCAATTCCAAGGACAAGAGATATTATCATAGGTCAACTAGAAGGAATAAGGAGAACGGATCCCGTTCGAATAGGTTCGTATGTCCGACAACAGCAAATTATATTGGTCCTCATCGTTATTTTTTTTTCAGTTTCAAAACGCACTCTGAGAGGAAATCGTCGAATTCGCGTTCGGGCAGCTTCAAATTGAAATATGACAGCATATCGAAGTCTGCCAGCTTCAAGAGCAAGGGCGAGTTGTGCTCCTGTCCGGGCAGTAACGATGGCGCCACCAGCAACGAAACTTCACCCAACACTGTCAAAACAACTGAAACAATATGCGTTACGCTTAAGTACAAACCTCGTATCTAAGTTAGTTTTATGTAGGGTCCCTTGATGTAAATTGACGTATTTGTCATCTTAACAGGGTACTGACAGATCATAGCTCCTTTCTCTTTTGATGATCTTGTGACTTTGGTTTTGTGTATTGGCGTCCCTGACTTGACATTGCTGTTTTTTTTAATGTGGTTGAAATCCACATTTCACAAACAAAAATACGACTTTGTATCTACAATTTATCTGTGACCTGGGTTATTTCTGTAGTTTTGTTGTTCCAAGCATGGGACCATGGTGTTGTTCGTGTGTTCTATTGACAGTTTGGGGGGATGTGGAGCGGGTTTTCGGCCGGCTGACTTTTGGACCATTGAGGTCTACTTTTTGGAGAGGAACGATAATGACTTGGGAACTGTTGGCTTTCGCATTATGCATGTTGGGGTTTGGTTCGCTCCTTGCCGCCTTCCCTGTCGCATCTTCGGGGGAGTGTGTCGGGTTGCCGGTGACCCTGTATATATCCATTTTCTTATGTTCATAAATATATCTGAGAATATTCATTTTCAATTGTTGAAAGAGATCTTCCAAAATTTTATTTAGTACACAATTTTAATACGACATTATTCAATTCTGTTTCGAGAGAATGGTAAGATGTGCTGCATTATGCAATCAGTTGGTTGGCAAATTTGAAATTGTCAGCTTTCCAACAAATGCAAATGAAATTAGAACATGGAAAGTGAAGAGACCAAATTTGGAAAATCGGTGAATACATCAGCAAAATGTGCGAGGTAGGACTAGGAAATAACATATTATACTTTCTCATTGTGCCTAATTATCCACACCACAAGTTTTTGAATGCATTTTAGTACAAAGAGTTTCGATTTAAACGGGATTAAAAGAAGAGGCATATGCCCTACCATTTAAAAAATTATACCTACATTTAGAAAATATAAATGTTCGAAAAAAACTGCAAAATTGAGAGACTCAACATGGATATATTGATATACAGGACACATGACATATGAGCACATTAGTTTGAATACCTACATCAGAGTTTTCACCATTAGTACAGTCCCATTTGGTAAAATATATAAAAATTCCAGAAAATTTTATGCTCACTGCCTCACAAAAATTATGCTGGATTTGAAAAATCAAAAACTCAAAAATTATTGATCATAAGTTGGATATAATATTTAGAGTTGAATCAGGAATGCCATGTGGAAATTACGTATGTTGAGCCAATGTCCTCAATATAACCTAAAAAACAACAAATGTCAGAAATCTAGTGTTTATCCCCAGAAATGAATAAAGATGGAACTATATAAGTGTTTCACAAACACTTTAGAGTGAGAGGAGACAAGGATCTGTCCGTACCCTGTTGAGATGACAAATAAGTCAATTAACTCAAAGGACTCTAGTTTTATGGAGTGGCGTCGGGGGTGTTTTTATTTTCCCTGTAATATGTTTCTTTTGAATGTTTTTAAATTGGAATGTTGTGATTTTTTTTCTGCTTTATTAGTGATGTTCGATGAAAATAGTCAGTGAATTAAAAAATTATGGATATAATTGTACTCACTTTTGGTCCAGTAATAGTAATATGGTATAGTTGTGTGACGATTTTTTTTACACAGGGTGTTTCAGTTTTTCGAGCTCCACCATGGGGATCTCAGTTATTATAAGAGATACGAGGTCGGTTAAATTAGGACAAAGTTCCGCATTTTCATGCTGAACATTTATCTGCAAGAAAATTTGATGTGTCATTTTTAGTTTTAGAACCCAAAAGACCTAGACGTTTCTGACTGGGGAATTCTTAAGGCACTTCTTCACAAGGGATCTGAATCTGTCATTGTATTTTCCATGACTTTCTTGATGCCAACACACAACTTTGTTTTTTCTAATGGGCGCCATATTTGTATATTACATTTTCGAAAAGTATTTTTTTCTGATTTCAATGATGTATCACACGATATGATCGAATCTTTCCTGTTGATCAAAATTGGGAATAAAACATTTTTGCGAAGAGTGCTTTGGAAAGAACGCCAACAGTTTTGTTTAACATGCTGAATTTCGACAGTTTATTTGAATTTGGATATGAAACGTTCACAATTTTGTCCAGCTAATCTATATAAAACTATGGTTTTGAATAAGGAACGACGTAATGAGCTAGAAGTTCACTATTCGCAAAACCAAACAAAGTCTAAACACAATTCTACGCGTTTCCTCATATTTTGAATTGCTCGCGAGATGTCCCGTCTTTTTATTTTAGTCCAGAAAGTGCTGATTATGGTTCTTGCCAGCTCATCAATATCGATCGGTACAGTTTTGAAAATCAATAAATAATAATCCAGTGGAGAGAGATCAGGCGACCGCGCTGGCCACCGTAGGTCTGTGTTGTTGGAAATTACCGGGAACATATCTGACACTCGGCAACCCTTCTTGCATTATGTGGATAAGCTTAAGATTCTAAAGTTCTGTTCGCATATTCAATTGAACTGTCAAAATTCAGTTTCTTAAACAAAACTGTTGGCGTTCCTTCAAAAATGTTTTTTTGCCAATTTTGATCAACAGGAAAGATTCGATTATATCGTGTGTGATAGTTCATTGTAAAAAAAAAGACTCAAAAAATGCAAAAGTTCGATATGGCGCCCATAAGAAAAAACAAACTTGTGTGTTGTATCTATGGCATCAAGAATGTCCCAGTCAGAAACGTCTAGGCCTTCTGGTTTTTGCTTGAAAAAATAACGAAAATTACAAATTTTCGTTTTCTTGGAATACTTTGAAAACTAAAAATGACACATCGAAATTTCTTGCAGATAAATGTTCAGCATGAAAATGCACAACTTTGCCCTAACTTAACCGACCTCGTTTCTCTTATAATAACTGAGATCCCCAAGGTGGAGCTCGAAAAACGGGCACCCTGTATAGCTTTTTTGAATATGATGTATAGTGTGAGTTTACATCTTTTCGCACATTTCAGCTACAGAAAAATATTGGTTAACCACTAAATTCAGCAAACATTCTCATGTATTATTTGGCGGGTATAAAAGGAAATTCTGCCATCTACTTTACTCTTAACTGAAATATACTATAGATCATTATCTGCTGATGAGGGCGTAGAAACTTGAGCAGGTGCGGTTTATTTATATTCCATTCTGTAAAGTACATTTTACATCGTAATCTTAAAATTTCGGGGGTAAGAGACAGTCAACGTATGATTTATGCAATTTGTCCCGTTATGCAGCTCTGTCCAGATAAATTTATAAAATGAGTGTCCAAGGCATGCAAAGTGACAGGTATAGTGCATAATATACATCGTTTCGTATCATACTGACGTTTCAAAATTAAATTATCCAAATTGAAATCGTAGCCATACTTTCTCACACTAGTGAGAGTGAGCCAAGTCACCATTTTAGAACATGAGTAGAAAAAATAATTCTGTTTTCTGCAACTTCAACATATTGTCATCATTTGAATGTAAGTTTCTGTTACTGTCAGCAAGTAAAGAAGAAGGTGATGTCTCTGAGGTTATAATATTTGACAAATACTTCATAGATATTTTGCATAAAATGTTCACCTCTGCTGCTCTGTTACTTTAAATTCTGCCTATACAAATGCAAGATCACTAACACAAAATATTGATCATTCCAATTTGTCACATTAATACAAGCAGAAAGAAAAACACACTTGATTTTCAATGTCACAGTATGGTGTATTTTTCTGATGTTAGTGTTTTGGTAACTATACAATAATTTTTCCACCACTAGCTATAAAACCTACCCTTATTTTCTACTTTTCGAGGCGTAAAGCGTGTTTTTACTACCAAGGTAGTTTTCGTCATTTTATGAACCACTAATCAATAAAGGCAAAGCCACGTCTGTTGTAAACCACCCGAATGCACTGTTCTGATCAGAGATTCGCAGGAATGGCACTCCAATATAGTAGGTATTTATCAGTAAAGACGTACTTGTCATGTGCTGTCATGGTCATGGATAACTATTGAAAATAGTGTTTCATAGTGACTATCCGCGATTACGGCGGGCCATGCATTACAGAGGAGAAATGATCTAACGTTTTTGCAAGAACATGTTTCAATTGTGTTTTCTCACGCACATTCTTGACTACTGAGAGCGAGGAAAATATGGACGCATCCAGAATGAATTGTTTTTCCGAGAACAAGTTGATTTTCATTCAATTCTCCTCCCAACCGAGATTCGGAGGGCGTTCCAGATTTGGGTCACTTTCAAGAAAACTAGATCTTTGATAGCCATCTTGAGTCAATTCTGATATTCAGATCTCTTCATCTGAAGTTTTATCTTCAAAATGAGCATAAGATTTTCAAAAAAGTTATGGCTGCAAAACCAAAAAGTTGATTTTTTGAGATCACTCTGTAAATAAGAGAGATAGGAAGTTGATTCGCGAAATATCTCGAGGTGATGAGATCATCTTCATGCCTCTGTTGTCGACGTTGAGAAAAAAACTGTTTTCACCATTTGAGAGCCTTTTGAATATTCCGAAATTTTGCACAGTGTCGGAAAACACCATGTAGAGATTTCATGTGGATACCCTTATGTTTCAATGAAGTACGAGATTATAGCTGAAGGACTGGGCTATCGAACAGTGTAAACCAAATTGAAATTGCTCTAAACTGAAAAAAGTTATTCACATTATAACAGGGGCGACATTTTGGTGTGCGAGGAAATTAGTGTTGAGTAGTTTAGGCATATACGTATTAATAAACAATACGGATCATAACGGGTGCCAGGATGAAGCCAAAAATATGAAACACATGAATATCCATAAGGATTTGGTGGCATGATACGCATGCGCCATGCGCTATTATAGTAGTCATCAAAGACATGCGTTTCGGTGGACAATGACGTTTACTAGCCTTTCAATCAAAGCAGTATGTGTCTGATCGTTTCAAAACTTTTCCTTATGAATAGTCATTTGTCTTCAAAAATCGGCTTCATGTTTCGCTATGGAAACAGATAGAGATTATCCGTATTGATTATTAATACGTATATGAGTTTAGGTCCATATTTCGGTTTCACTGGACTGAAATGATTGAAATATATTGCTAGTGATGAAAAAAATTAATATTAACTTTGGTAGTGAAGAATATTATTACCATGGGACCTTTTACCCCTCAGCTGAAGCCTCTGGATATAATCTTGGTCCTTGGGTAATAATGATGAAAGCACTATTTTCAATAATTAGCCATGACCATCACACCATATGACAAGTCATTATTGATAAGTACCTATACTAGATACGAGTGTCCTTCCTGCGACTCTCGCATCAGAACAGTGCATTCGGGTTGAATACAACAGAGGTGGCTGTCATCATGGACTAGTGTGGTTCATAAAATGACGAAAACTACCTTTGTACTTAAAACACACTATACGCCTCGAAAATTAGTTAATAATGGTAGATTTTATAGCTAGTGGTGAAAACAAATTATTTCAATTTTATCTATGTCTCTTGTCAGTATTATATTGAGGTATTGGATGAATATGTATGCCCTTTTTACCAGGTTGTAATACCCATGTACATTCAAAACTTTGAAAATAAGTTTTTTATTTCGTTTTATTTTTTTTACTGTGGTAATAAGCAACAAGAAAGTGAGCCAAAAGTTTATTTCATAACATTTATTAAAACTAACTACCTGTAATAAGTGGTAATGATTAGACACATCAGTAATCTGAGTTCAATAAATGTCCAGTATTTTTTGTATTTCATTTTTGATACAGATGATGATGTATATTTTAAAATTATTGAATAATTAATGCAATGAATCAATCAACTTTATTAATTTTGTAGACCATACAAGGTATTAAAATACATACCTATTCATCTCCTAGTTCTTTTATATATGATTAAGTTGTAAATGTCCAGTATTCGTTTTATTACATTTTTGATAAAGATGTATATTTTAAAATTATTGATTCATCAATGAAATTAATCAATAAACTTTATTAATTTTGTAGACCATACAAGGTATAAGACATACATACCTATTCATCTCGTAGTTCTTCTATACAGTGTGTCCCACTTACCATGCTCACTATGGGTATCTTTTTACCGAGATACGAGGTCGGTTAAATGACACCAAATGTGGAGTTTGTCAAGGCCAACTATAATGTGAAAAAGTATTTTGATAAAATCTATTCGTTTTAGTTTTATACGCAAAAAACAGATTTTGATCATTTTCATGTCTCCTCCATAACTTTTTTATTTATGAAAATATTCAAATAGGAATTTCACATTCTCATGGCAGTTTTTCAAAGTGATTTCGAGAAAAATATGAAATTTATACCAACTCTTCTAGAATTTGAGATATCAGCACCATCTTTAGTTTTTCAAATGTAGGTCATAGCTCACTATGACTTAGTTACAAATAACTTTTTTTTCTCTCACAGATGATATGTCGCAGTAATAGTTTTGTGTGAAATTCCTATTTGAATATTTTCATAAATAAAGAAGTTTCGGAGGAGACATGAAAATGATCAAAATCTGTTTTTTGCGTATAAAACAAAAACGAATAGATTTCATCAAAATATTTTTTCACATTATAGTTGGCCTTGACAAACTCCACATTTGGTGTCATTCAACCGACCTGGTATCTCTCACCGTTAAAAAGATACTCATGGTGAGCATAGTAAGTGGGACACACTGTATATGATTATGTTGAGTATATTTTTGTTGTTTTTTCTATACTAGTATTTGTCCAAAGATTTTTTTAGCGGATTTATCAGTTTGATAATAAATATGATAGAGTGAAAAGTCATATACTTGAAATAAGAAATTACGCTTATTAAAATTGATATATTCATGAATAATAATTTATACTCCAAGTAGTGTGCTTAGCTGTGAGCATATTTCATCAGACATAGTCTGAAATTTGTGTGAAAGCTTTAGAGTAATTCATGTTGTATGGAAATTGAAAATGATATGCTCATTATCGGCGTTGAAATACTGTACCTACTGAATATTTTTTGTATTCGCTATTTATGTCTCGATTTTTGGAGAGGAGAACTCTTTTTTGACTTTCATAAGTTCATATTTTGTAATATCTACGCACATATTAACGTCACCTTCCTTTACAATCATTTTTCAATACAAATATTTTTGAAATTCATATTTATTATGTAATTTCAATATTGTCAAATGGCACTTTTGTCTTTTATCACAAAAACTATTCTAACTACTGGAATTTCACTATTAATTTTATACAAGACTGTGTTTATGTTTAGTACTATTGTGTTCTTAACGTTTAAGCTGTAGATTCATATCAATATATTGATTTGCATTCCAAAAAAGTTCAGCATTTATATATTTATAACAATATATGATAATAATAATTATTCATAAATTATATAGGCTTTTTTATATATTATAAATTGAGTGCACAATTTGTTTGTTCAAATTTATATTTATGGTTGATCTTGAGTTATCAAGAATGTACCTATATACAATAAAAAAAATATGAATGTGGATTGATTTGTATTTCATTCCTTTTTTAGGTTGCCTCATTTGGGTCCATCTACCATTTCCTGTTTCAATTGAAATAAATAAATGATATCCCCATATCTTATAATAACAGGAACAAATCAATACAATATAGAAACCAAAGACATAAACCTGTTAAGGACCATTGAAGAGGGGGCGTGAATAATCAGAGATCAGATGATGACAACAAAATCAGATCACCTAAGTGTTATAAGTAAATCAATCACATAACTCAGTGCCGGATTTAGGGACTATCAGCCCCCGGAGGTGAATTTTAAGAGGCGGTAGGGAAAAAGGAAAGAAAAGCAAGCAGCAATATACTCGTCGCCGACGAGGCGACAAGTATAATATTCTTGCTTTTTATATGACGCCTCTTGACTCGTCGCCTTTTGATCGGTACCGCATCAAAAGGATTGGGATCTGTTTTTGTGAGAATCGTAACATTCACTAATCCTCAGCTGTGCCTTTATACAAAAGCGGCTGCGGTACATACTTTCATTTGATGAAGATGAAAAAACTATATTCTACTCAGTACGGGTAATTTCGTGATTCGTCTAACTCAATAATAAATAAAAAAAACATAATTCAGTACTCAATAGGTTGTCGTTGGTAATGGTAAATATTGAAACTGGAATTCAAAAATATGAGTAAAAAAGAAAGTGGTGCATTTTGAAAACGGTAGAAGACGAATAAACAAATGAAGTTGGATGAATAAGTTGTCAAGAGAGGCACTAAAATACTTTCATTTTTCCTCAGTTCAAATGAGATAGAATGAGGGTAATTTTGCACTTATCATGCGATGGTGTTTTTTTCGAATTTTTTTTTTGGTACTTACGTATTTTTGTCTGAAAAACACGAATTTGATCATGAAAATGTGAACAAACCATTATTTATTAAGATATTTCACTATAAAGTTACAAATTCCACCTTCTTTTCCGCCTGTCGTCTGGATCGCATTTAGAACAATTTGCCCTTCTTTTTCCATCATTGGACAATTTATATATATCACACAATGTTGGACATATTTTTTTTATTATAGGAATCAACTAGAAACATGATTTTTTTGTTATTTATCCATGTTTAATGAAAAGAAGGAAGAATATCTTTTGAAATAATGGCGTGTGTAATGTCATTCCAAAGCTGAGATGTTTATAATTCCTATCTCATCCAAAGCAATCTATTGACATTTGACATCTCGTATTTGGATTGCCTATGGATTAAATGGCCGTCATCTGGTATGCTTGCTCACTAAATAGGATAATAGCCATAAAAATAATATTTCCTGTTGAATTTTCTATCTTGAAATGAGTCATTGAAGTACATCATGAGTATATAAAGTGTCCAATGACAAAATAAAAAGAGCAAGTACCTGTAAATGCATCCAACACAAGGGGGAAAAGAAGGCAAAATTTCGAACTTTTTCTTGAAATATCTCGGTAAATAGTGGTTTGTTCACATTTTCATTATCAAACTCGTACTTTTCAGACAAAAATACGCAAGTCCAAAAAAATTTTTCCTAAAAAAACCCATCGCATAATAAGTGCAAAATTACCAGAATGAGAACCGACAGAACCGTATCCAGGAACTTCACGTTCTGAAGACGAAAGAAGGGAAATTTTACAGTTTCATATTTTTCACATTCAGTGAAGGGGTAGGTACTTCGAATTTTGAATTATTTGGTGGCGGCGCGGCGGCATCTTAATGTTGACCCCCGGCGTAAAGTGAGTATAAATCCGGCACTGATATAACTAGAAATCATTGTCTGCTAAACATGGAGAAAAAATCTAGTGAGCTGGAACTACAGCCCACTAGATTTTTTCTCCACATTCAGCAGACAATGCTAGAAATAAATCAAGTTTATCTTAGAAATACACTTTCAGATGTTAGAGTTTTTATTTTGTATTATTAGATTATATTTTAGCATAATGAAAATATGAGTTGAACAAGGATGATGATTTGGTTGAAAAACAAAAACAAAGAGAAAACCAACCAGATTTTCTTGCTGGTTTCAACAGTTGTACAGTTGATGTTCCTTTGAAATAATAAGGGTTTCCAAATTTCTCACTATTCTTTTTATTCATTTCCCAGTTCATTAGGAATAAATCACTGTTGCTCTTGTAAAACATGTTTTTTGCGCTCTGGAAGATAGGGCACTTCTCCAGGCTTAGAATGTGCCCTTCTGTTGGCCTCCTTCCTCTTCTCTTTTTCTTTGATAGTTCTCAGCTCATTTTGGGCATTGTACACATGTCTGGGAACATGCCTGTGTCTAGAGATTCTCTTGATCTTTGGATGGCTAGCATATTTCTCTTTAAGAGCTTCACTGTAGCGGAGGGCTGCTTTTTCTCTTGGCTTCAACTGGAAACAGATAAATAATAGTAGATTGAGTAGATTGTTTTATTAGGATCAAAATTGACACTTTGCTTGACAAGCGAATTTTGCATTTGCGAGGCGGAGCGTTTAGCGAAGTCAAACAAAGTCACTTTTGATCGGAATGAAACATGCTATTTTTTCTGCAACCGAAACAATTAACTCAAATAAACATGTGAAGTAACCACCAATGCCGTGCCATATGTGTGCAATGCAACAAATATTGACAAATTATCCATGTGGTGAGAATATTCTACCTGCATTAACAGCAGGTTAGGTTTTCTAGAGGCGTTTTCGGAAACTTACTCGGGTTGTTCGGATCCCTAACCTGAACGTTCGGTTACCCAAACCGAGTTACCTACCTCTGTTCGGAAACTTATGATGCTAACTCGATCACTGACTCGGGTTGATTTTTCGTGACCCTACTCGAAAGCAGGGTCGCCAGAGTTGCAAAGGACACCGCATGCGCATTATGGAATTTGAGTCAATCAAAAAACGCGGGAGATTACATTCGACGAAAACAATAATAATAACATAATTTGCATGTTGGGAAAAATCAAATCCGGTGATATACGTGTTTCTTTCAATCTTCATAATTTGATTAAAGTAATTAATTGAGAAGAGAATTTGGGTAGGGGTGAATTTTGTGGTTATGTGCAACAACACATATGAGACAAGTACACCAATCCACAGGTAAATATAAATATTTGTAATCAGATCAAATGATTACTCGAATATATGTGACCATTTTCGTCTGTCAAATTCATGAAACCACAGGAAAAATATAATATTCAGTGTTTCTAACCTGACACGTTCGTAAACGTTGAACAGGAGTAGATGATCCGAGTTTTTGGTCGCGTGACCTATCTGGATCGAGTTATCAACCCAGAGTAAGTTTCCGAAAACGCCTTATGACGTTGGAATTGTAGTTTGAATATAACTACAACCACAGAGTGACATATTCGTGTATGGACCAGGTGCTCTAATGGCAAATACCGCGCCAGTGCCAGCCATAGGAACAAGACGTGGAAAATGTTAGGTTAGTGAACATATCAACAATGATAATAGTAATAGTGATTATTTATTCCTCTCCATACTACACTGTGTTTGACTTGATAATCAAATGAAGCTAAACAATATCATTGTTTGAGACAAAAAAACTATTGCTTGCCGTGATTATTCAAATACAAGTTATACATCCCCAGAATAATGAATGAAATACAGCTCAAGCAAGTATTTGAATCTTAGAAGGCTTCCCTGATCGAAACAAAAATTCTTAACTGAGAATTCCAATACTAAACTATAATAAGGTGTATTTATATCTCCAGCATGCCTATGAAATACCAAATCTGCTGAAATTGGAAACAAATCAGGTATGCCTCTCAACCCAAATAACCAACCTTTACAATGTTGTTTATTCTTGATGACATCCATCCTTTTTAGTTCCTAGGCGCTAAAGTTCAACTTTAGCTCCTAGGAACTAAAATTCAACTTTAGCTACTAGGAACTAAATATGTTGCCTAGCAACATACCTATTTTTTGTCAGTAATAGAAACGTCAATTTAAGAGCTAATTTTGGTATCAAAATGGACGACTCCTGTGTTGGTTGCAGAAAAAATGAATAAATTCCAATGATATTTCAAATAGGACATTTTATAACTTACAGGCCCCAATTTTTCTGATGCTCTGGCCTTCCATATCCTTATATTCATCTCATCTGAGCCACTGATGATGTACTTATTGTCCAAACTCCAGTGGACACAGGTCAATCTCTGCATCCTCTTTGTGTGATAAACCTCCCTGGAGTGCCCCTTTCCAGATTCAAAAATTCTAATGGACTTATCATAACTGCCTGATACAAACTCTCTACCAGTGGGGGCATAGTCAATAAAGGTGACAGCACTGACATGGTCCATATGAATATTGGCAGGTTGTTTCAAATTGCGTGTGTCAAAAGTATACAAACTGAAATAGGAATTATACAAATCAATTTGATGAAAAAATTTGTTTTAATCTTTTTTTGTTTGTAAGTTGAAATCCCAGTTTATTTTGCTTATGATTGTGCATTGAGAATTGTTTGGGAACTATTATAAGAGGCTTAAGTGTCTTACTTGTAATCTTCATTGGCACATGTGAAAATAAAGGGCTCCATAGGATTCCATGCCAATTTATTTGTCCTTAACTTCATAATAACTTTCCTCAAAGGATTTTTGTCCCTCATATCATATAGAATGATACTTCTGTCACTCACACATGAAGCAAGAATATTTGTTTCAACAGGATTGAATTCTATATCATGTAAGCTATCTACTCCCCATTCAATCTTACGAATAGGCTCATTTCTGGACTCTTCCCAGATTTGACAAATTTCACCTGCTGTGGCAAATATTGGTTTTGTTCTATGATGTGCTAAACTGGTCAGCACTGTTTTACTGAGGACTGTGTTGACTGGTTCTTCTTCTTCCCCAAATTGTGGGGCCAATGACTTCCATGTTTTGATAGTCTTGTCATCACCAATGGTAATAAAATGATCCCCATTAGGGTTATAAACAATACCCCTGATTATGCCATCATGTGCAACAAAGTTTCTGATGCATATCCTTTGTGGAATATCCCAGATTCTTACTTCACCGTCAAATGCACCACTTGTCAAGACTGTTAAACGTTTTGGATGTTTGGAGATACAAGAAACGCCATCTCTATGACCATCCAGATTTCCTATGAAAGGTTTGGCAAAAACTTTTTCTAGTTTAACTGCATTTAGAGCTCTAGTGTATTCCCTAGCTGCCTCAAATGGGTGAAGAGCCGGGTCATAGTTTCTCTGAGCTGGAAGTATAATTTAGAATACATGTATGATCAATGAAATATGGTATTATATTTACTTTTATGAATATCTAGTTTGGTTTCACGAAGATACTCGTCTGGATTTCTGCTTATAACTTTTACTTTCATATTAATTGGGATGGATAATGGCTTTATAAGCACATTACCGTTTTTCTGTCAGAAATAATTGAAAGAAAAGTAAAAAACCCTTTTAGTTGACGACTGACCAAAAACAAAAATCTCAAAATATAACCTAAAAAGTTGAAACATAACCTGAAAGTTGAATTTATTAATTCTTCTTTTTTTATGTTCCACTGGTTCTAAGGTACAGGCTACGAGACATACCAGCATACCACCAAAATATTAGCTTGCTACCATCTTTGTTAGCTAGGTCGTTACTTTCTAATTTTCACTGTTCAGCCGTGTTTGAATCATTTTGGCTTCACAAATACTCAGACTTCATTTTAAGAAAACGAAATTTACAACAAATGTGTTATTTTGCACTTGTCTCTTATTCCAGATTCACTATTTACTTGGCTTTTGAGTAGCACTACACGGAAATACCTCAAAAAAAATTCCAGCACCTACCTCCTCGCTCCCTGACCTCCCTGGGAACGCTCGATGTTCCACGAAAATCACAGCATACAGAATAATATTCTCACAACGTTGTCAATAACATATTTCCTATCGAATATTCTGCAGATGTTTCTCGATGTATCTTGTATACCGGGTGATTGATTTTCTAAGGTGGAATTGAGCAAAGACATTGATGGGGCTAACATTTTCAGTCTCACCATCAGCGCTACTAAAACGTGAATACAATGTCTCAAAGTCAAAAATTCAAAAATTTTATTTATCGAAAATATTCGAAAACAAAATATAGTAGATTATTTGAACATTGTTTGAACCATTGTCTGCTAAATATGGAGAAAAAATCTAGTGAGCTGTAACTATATACTGGTCTGCTCTAAAGCTCAGTTGAGTGTATGACCACCAGAGGATGTTACCTACCGTATCGGACGAAATGATCTTCACTTTTTTCTAGAAAATTTTCGATATTTGTGGCTATCTAAGTTGTCAGTGTCAAGAGCTGTCGTGCCATCGTGATTTGCATTATATTTTTTCCAAAAAATCTGTCTTCTTCAATTCTCATTGTTCTAATATTCCTCTCGTTTATAGATATAGTTTTCTGTTCTGCTCCCAGTATATCAAATATCAGAGCCCTAATCAAAGCTAATAATCGATACTACTGCTAACACATCAGTAGCTTCGTCAGGTGATATGGTACAATGAACTAAACTAACGTTCATTGTACCAGTATGAACGTTAGTTTAGTTCATTGTACCAGTATATCACCTGACGAAGCAACTGTGTTAGCGAAACATGTCGTGTGTTTGAGAATTTTGTGGAAATCTTATCGTTTGTGAAGTTTTTACATTTGTCATGGATTTCCATCAAATAACGGCCGAGTCAATTCAAAAAATTCGAAGAATAATTCTCAACCCCCATATTTCGTTTTACTATACCTCCTTCAATCATACAAAAGTTATAGTATAGAGTTGAGCCACCTTAGAAAATCACCTGGTATAACCTCATACTTATATTGGTCTGTTTAATCTATGCTTTATTGCATTGCATGATATATAAATTATATAATAGTAAGTTTCGACTGTGATGAATTGCTACTGAACAATAGTTATATAATCATGAATATCATGATTATGAAATAAATAAATCAGATTTGAATTTTTATGAAGGGTTATTTATTAAATATTCAGGATAACAAGTTACAAATATGGTTTACAACAATTGACTTTAACAATAAGTAGGTATTCATAAAAATATATATACATTGAAACTTTTTGAACTTTCCATATTTTTATTTACAACAACAAAAATATTTTATGAATGTGAAGACTAGGTAATTTTTATATTCTTTACAAAGTGATTAGGTATTTACTCATACATTCATACACATGATAATCATAAATATATATACCTACTATTTAATTGTTCATTGGTCCAACAAATCACTCATAAAAATATAATATGAAGCAAAATTATTTCAAATTAAGTATGATCGTGAATATCCTCTACCAGAAGCTTTTATTTATGAAGGGGAACAATAATAACTGATTATATTCAGAGAAGACATAGAAGCCGGGACAAAAATCAATCGAATGTAATCATTCACAACAAAAACAATACCTATTGAACATATATCGATCAGCGATGTATACCTTCGAGGTACAAAAAATCAATGTCACTTTTAAAAAAAACATTTTTTATCAAAGGTTTCAAGAAACAATCATCAAGTGAATAAGTTCAATAAGCAATAAAGTACTGAATTGGAACGTTTTTTCTCATACACGTTGACTACATCAGGAACCAATTTGAATTGATAAGCGACATATCTTGTAGGTTGTATAATAGGTTCAAATTACCTACTTCTATGCCAGACAGATAGAAATTCTTTACACCATATGCATAGCACTCGTCTGAAACCCAATCATTTCAAACAATACACTGTTTTAAAAAATTAAAAACATTTTTTTTTTTCTATAAAAGATGCATCGTCTAATAGCCCAAAAATATATCGATATCTGCATGAGTGTTGTCTTCATGGACTCTCAAAGTTTGATCAGAGAATCATTTCCGAAAATTTGTGAAACCAATCATTTTTGTGGCTACTGAACCAAGCATTCTTATCTGTTCGAACACATGATTTTATAGGACTATAAGCATTCACATGCCAACACTTCCAGAGAAGTCCGAGTCTAGGAGAGGTAGGTATCACAAGGTACACAAAAATTGCGTCTTTCGATAATTCACAAAATAAATAACACGACTAGGTCGGCGAACTTCAAAATCAGGTTTTTTCCACCGACAACAATTACTTACTAGACCGCTAATAATAAAAGATCCGAGATCCAACTTGGTCCATGGAAGATGGGCAATCATCAGGACCTGTCATATATAACATACCTTACTAACTTTTACTAATGTTTCCGCGTTGGTGTTCTTGCGCATTGAGCAGAAACAACAGGCTCCAAAGAAAGCCGTGCTGAGGCAGTTAGGCAACACTGTCCGAAAGTCCCTCCGCCGGCCATTTGCATACATACAATGATATACGTAGTGAAATTGTTCAGTTTTCAAGAAAAAATGTTCTGTTATCAAGTGATCGAGTTATATGTTTAAGGGTATTTATGTGTGTATGTGTGAAACTCCATCAAAATAGTTTCTGAATTGAGGTTATGTATTATGTTTTTTTCATTTCTGGAAGCAAAGTATAAGTAATTTCAGCGTACATACAGTCTAATATGTATGTTCGCTGGTAATTTCAATATTTCTTTCAACAACATTCCGAATCATCAATTGTTAACTGTGTAAGTCAAATTACGCTTGGGAAAAGAAGTATGTTTCGATTTCCTAAAGATGAAGAACCACACTAAACACCCTTACTGTGGAAGAACTGAGGAAAACGTGGATAGGTATCTGCAATACCTCGTAAAAATTGGACCCCCTCCCAACATTCTGCAGTGCGTGCATCATTTCGTTGAAACATATGTTTTTGGATATATACAATTTCTCTTTCAGATAGATCGACTCGGAAAAAATTGACAGACACCTCCAGTTAGTTGAAACAGCAGTTTCCTCAATAATTCCTTGCTATTATTTTTTCATTAAAGTTCAATTATTACAAAGCCAGGAGTTGACGTTTCGTTAGCACGGTTAGCGTGTAGGTACCAATGTTTGTTTGTCGCCGTGGTCGCCAGTCGATAAGAGGACTTTCGGGTCACTGCGATGCGGTGTTGCATTTTCCCTCACCATGGCTTGTTATGAGTGACAAAAGCATTTTCAGGTGAGCAATTTGGATGAGATGTTCGAGATGCAGAGGTATGACATATATATAGCGGTCTAGATAGTAGTCATGCCAGTGGTTTTTTCCTCAGAATGGCTTTCCGAAGCCAGTCTCATTGGTTTCGGACGTTCAAATGTCTGCCATCATTTTCCTGAAATCGGTGAAGCAGTTGTAGTCGGGATCCAGGTCAATGTCGGCGAAGTCCCTCTTGGAATCGGATTTGGCGAAGTTGGGCAGGTAGCGGCTGAGAGATAGAGGACAGGGTAGCAGTTCCGGCATCACCGAGTGATGCGTTATGAGAGACGTGAGCGATATGAATTCTTTCGTGAAGCCCTGTACAACAAATGAATGAATTACACATGACATAGTTATTAACCTTACAAGGCCAATATTCAGCAAATAACGGATGTAGTTGAATATTGTAATCCGAGGCACAGCCGAGGATTTTAACAACCTGATAGATGTGTCATTGGAATAGAGAGATCCGCCCACCAAAACTCGCCCCTCAATAATAGGTTTTTATGCAACAATAAGTGCAAAAAGTAAGTGTTTATTGCACGCAACACGTCAAGCGCCATAAACACTTGTTTGCACGAGTTGCATACAATCATGTCTCTATACGTACATGCAAAAACCAAAAAATATCTTATTAAGGACATTAAGTGCAAAAAAATGAAAAGAGTAATTAAATAGCAAAATGTTTAATGAATAATTAGCCTCAACAAATATATTAGGACCAATTCAACTCAAACATTGTTTTTACCAATAATGTCAAAAGTAATGTACAATTTGTTTTTTAATTCTCTTCAGGCTAAAAATAACTTTTTGCAATATTGACTTCGTTTGCAAATGCATCTCTCTGCTACTGATGTCGACGAATTATTTGTTGTCCTGTCTCTAGAAACTAGTGACAAAACATTTCGCGAGTGTGCTGAACGTTTATGTGTGTCATGATGACTGATGCTTGAGCGCAATAAAAAAACAGCTACTTTTTCGACTGAAGATAGTTCAATAATGGTTTGTTTTTGCATGAACGTAGAAAAATGTATATTATAATGATTCATAGTGATTTAACGTTACACATTTCAGCTGTGGAGCTATATCAGACCATTTAGGGACGGTCTTCAAATTCATCCCATTGTGGTTTCATAGCTTCATAGTCGTACTACTGATAAAAGTTACCCGCAATCGATCATCATCCCGCTCACCTTAATTTTATAGCTCTTATTCACCCTCACGATCAAATAGTGCGCAATCCCCGTGGGCTGGAACGTCCTGGGCACCCGCAGCGACAAGGCGAAGCAGCCCGGCTTGCTGGTACTCTGGCGTACCATAAACGCGCCAACTGGCTCGCGCGCCAGGATCTCCAGCGCTATCTCCCTGGGGATGCCCGCCTGGTACCAGGGCGCTATCCGCAGCTCCTCCTCCTCCTTGTCGGTCAGCGAGTCCGTGCGTTCGGGCGGGAGTGGGGGGTAACGCGTGAAGCCAGGATCTTGGGTGCCATGCTGGCCGGAGCTGGAACTGCTCGAGCTGACGATAATACCAAGAGATGAGATAGAGCGTCGGACCATTATAGTTGCATTATATAGTACGGGGCTAGAGTGATTCATTTATTCAAGCGAGTGGTTTATTACGCTAGAGCTATGCACTTTCTGGAAGACTATTGATCAATTAGTTATAACTTATGAATGGTAGAATACAATTCGACAAGCACCTGTTAGTTGATTTCAGTTTTCTCAAGGCGATCTCTCTGGGAGGTAAGTGTGAAGCCATCAGGATCTTGGGTGCCAGGCTGGCCGGAGCTGGAACTGCTCGAGCTGACGATGATATTGATAATGTATTGTACTTTTTAGAATTAGGTTTGGAAGGCACATTGGTATTGAAACAGTTATTCATTATACACATTTTTTTGTGTGACATGAAAAACGACAATTTAATGTCGACTATTCCACTCTTGGTCTCTAGAATCAATCAGAATATGCCTTTTTCACGGTTTTTTCTGTATTGAAGCGATATTTTTTTGTTTACTAAATTTTATCGGACTTGCTCTACCAATACAGAAGCCGAATAGACCCACACGTGACCAACCTTCCTCGTTTTCCAGCGACAACATTTTGGACGTTCTGAACGTCAATTATGTTGGTAGCCAGAATGATGGATGCAGTGTGCGCCACTCTCTCGAGCCGCTCCTTTATTGTCTCAATCATGGAATACTCATACGAATACAACTCGTGATACTATTTATCCTGGAAATACTTGTCGATTGACATACTCCAGCTTGCTGCTTCAATTTCGCTCATGACATTGTTCCAAAACTTCCCGCCTACGTCTCGAAAGTTTTGATAAACAATGTCATTCGGCGAAATTATTTGGCAACAAGCTGTCGTAACAATCGCCGAATACTCCCAGCAAAACAGTATCACTAGTGGTATTACATATGAAAAAATTTCAATATTTCAAATTTAAAAAATTATCAATGTGTAGTACTTACAGAGAAAGAAGTTTTGATATTGCGCCGTCACACCCATTGAGCTCATGGAAACTTCGAACGTGAATATCTTCGTGATCGTTCGAAATATCTCAATTAAACCCGTTATTTTTTGATTCGATATAATAATCTCTAACCGATCATGGAATGAAATACAGGGTGTTCCATTTGAAAATCGAAAGTTGATGTCATTTCCCGGAAAACCGGAAAATGAAGAAAAAATCCTAAAATGTGAGAAAGTGCCCTCTATCAGCAAATTTCAGAAATATAGCTAAAAAACCAAAGGAGAAATGGATGGTATACCATGTTTCTGTGTGGCCCGCTATAATATAATCAATTACCGATTACATAAAAGGGCAAAACTAACCTGATTTGCGATATCCGCTTCGTTTTCAATTCCCTATCGGTTTTAGAAGGTTCTATGTGCTTGGTTATGTTGGGTGCATCGGTCTGTTCGTTTTTGAGGTTTTCGGCAGCATTGTTTATTGATCTGTTTCGGGATTCTTCGGTTTCGTTGACGTAACCACCCGAGAGTGGCCGGTTCGTCGGACTATCTGGATAAAAACATATACCATTAATATTCGAAATTGAGATCAAAATAGTATGATATCCTTGGGTGTCAATAAAATATCTACGATATACACGTTTGGCAAGAATAATTTTCCTATAGAGAAACCGTGTAATGGGTAAGCGTTCTTGTCCCACCTATACCTACTCGAGTATGGCACGTGTGGCAAACGATAATATCTACGGTCACACCGAAAAATGGTCTTGCTCGAAGGAGTGGCTAACGCGATACGAAGCGTTTGGCAACGTCACCGTTCTCTTTGTTAAAATACCCATGCACAGAATGCACACGGTTTCTCTATAGGAACATTATTTTTGCCAGACGTGTACGTGAATGCGTGTTTAAAAAATAGATAACAAATATATTGGATACATAAATTCGCTATACTGATACTTGATTAAGTACATAAATATACATCAACTCTGAATATATTTTGAATGAAGAGTAGAATGCAGTACACTTCAAGCTCCTACACCCTATAAGGGTGATTTGTGTAAGAGTGCGAAGAAATTGGTATATACATCTACCTCCTCTCCCATCCACCCTAGGTACGCACGATGTTCTTCGAACCTTATAGAAATTTTCTTTCGTGCGCTCCAAGAGATGAAAAATACTTTGCAACTCACACATGGGCGGATTTAGGCTTTTTCTGAGGGGGGGGGGGGCGTGATTTCCAAATCAATTGAGGGTTTACCAAAGGGGGGCTAGGGAACGAGAAAACACTTTCGCACTATTAAAAATGCGCCAAAGGCGAAATTTTTTGGGGTTCCAGATCGAATGCTTTCAAATTGAAAATTAGATTGTTCCAGATTGACAATGATTTCGTTACATAATTATGTTATACATTATTCATCAGTTCCGTGTCTCATTTTGTTGATATTGATATAAAATGATCTCGAAATGAATTTTATATCTAGAGCAACCAAAAAGTAAATCATATAGTGTCTGTAGGTAAATCGAGTTGGTGAATATTCATTTCACGAGATGTTTTGAGATTTTCTATCCCGCTTCATGACCGTCAGACAGTCTAGATATTTGGCAGTCATATATTGCTCAGGGGCTCACATTTTGTGAGTACGGGAATCGTGGACCCAACTTGTCTTGGGTGATATCCTCTTCTCTCTACTCTGCCAATCTATTCTATCGGCCTTACTTGGCCTACTTCTCTTTTCCTCTTCCCCTTCAAGCCCAACCTCACCATCAGGTGGTGTGGAATGGACAAACCGCGGCCACTCGACAGATGAAGCATTTTGGGACTATCTTTGCTATCTCCGGGCCAGATGGTAAGAAGGAGAGAAAATCCCGAAGACTCTAGGAAAGTGAAGTAATTCTCAAAAATTACAAAACGACGCTCCCCCCCTTCTTAATCCACCACTGGGTCCCGAATACGATCTTGAATTTATTTCGCCTGAGAATACTCACATCCTATATATCAATTTAATGGAAACGTTAAGGATATTGAAATACAATATATTCGCAGTCATCATACTTTTTTACGATACTGGCTTGATTGGAGTTGCTATTACCATTATTAAATTTCACTCAATGAGTGTTAGAAAGAGAGATTTTTTTTTAATAAGATCAGAAGGCCAGAACAACGACAATATGGAGTGGTAAATAGGTAAATCGATCATTTTCTATCGACACTAATTTATTCTTTGATGAATGTAAATGTATCAAAGCGTCAGTAACCGGAGAAATGTTGATCTTTCATGTTCGAATGTAGGATTAATTTATAGATTTCAAGTTACGTCTGAAAATGCAACTTGAGCTTGATTTATTGCTGGTCAATTTTGGCAATAATGCTAATGAACCTAGAATCTCAAGAATAAGAAATTCTAGGGAAATTTCGTGAATCGAGAATTCCCTAGAATTTCGTAGTCTTTAGATTCTAGGTTTATCACTATCTGTTAGTGGAACATTAATCCACTTTGAGAATTACAGGTGTTGCGATAGTCGACAGAATCTGACATGGATGTCTTTTCTGTAAGCATATAGACGTATATGCACGACTTACTCGCAAGGTATGATGAATCTAGAATCTAATAATGCTAACATCGATGCAACGTAGCGATGTTATTATTGGTGAATTTGAATTGGTAAGCTACTAATTACATTACACGTTTCATCGCTAGCATTGCAGACGCCAAAATTGCCCAGCAATAAACTTCAAACTACAATAAACCAAGCTCATTTCGCAGCCATCATACATTCCAACGGTACTGGCCCCATCCCTTCATAGCAATTGATAACATTCTACCGACAGGAAAGTCGCGATACCATCGAAACTGCGATCAATGCTTATGCAACCAAACAATTTGAAAAATCAATCTTACTCGGAGTGCTGGGGTTGTTGGCGTCTCCCACAAGCGGGCAGCTGTCCTCATCGTTCCTGCCGCTGCCCCCCGTCAAGCCCATGGCTATCCTCTTAATCAGGGGCGGCTTCTCGGCCATGCGCTTGTACGAGTTCATCTCCGTGGGCGAGTTGCTCTCGTCGCTGCTGGGCGTCGACAGCTGCGACGCCGACTTGTCACCGCCGAAGCGGTTCTGGTGCAGAGGGTTATTCAGGCCCGGTATGGAGGATGGCGGGTTGGCGCGCACCGTGGGACCACCATCTTCGCGCTCCATGGTGGCTGAGGGCGCCGAGGGGCGGTGGGAGGCTGACAGCTCTTTCGTCTGTAATGGAAGTTGTTCGGATAAAAACTAGATTCAACCCGTGGTTTCGTTCGCGTTGATTTCGTGCAACGTGCAACTTTTGAAGCTCGGGCCCGTGACGTTGGGCATGCAACCCAGAGGTTGTGAGTTCGACTCTCACATGGGGCGGTGGAGTTTTTTCATTTTCCATTGTCACTCGAAATTAGGGCTTTCCATCTTCATCATTAAATGTGCCTATCTTTTCGGTTGAATAACCGACAAAAATTATGACTTGACTCCTATGTGTAAGATCAGATTAACGTTTCCGAGGCACAGTTAAATTAATGATTCTTCTGGAAGGTGGCCGACAGCTCTTTTGTCTGTAAAGGAAGTTGTATGAATAAAAACTAATTTTGTTATTTCTCATTGGAATTCCTCCTGCAATAAAAGCTAATAGAAATACTCGTGAGATGGAGATGAATCTTCTCTTGATGGAATTTAAGAGCATCAGCGTATGTTTGGGCGGTGAACCGCATATATGAGAACAGTATTCTGAAACAGGCCGTATCTGTGCTTAGTATAGACATAGATGTATAGATCATGAGAAGCTGTTGAGTGTTGAGGTGTAAATTAGATTTTTGCTCGGAATAAGAACACGAGTTTTTGGAAGCAGCTTTCGCAATGGATCTGAAATGATTTTCTTACAAAAGAGTATTGCTATTGATAAATCGAGCATAGGTATAGACGACTTGGTGGAAAAGGTGGTACCATCAGACAATGATATATTAGGCACACTGAGTTCCGCCTTTCTAGAGAAAAGACAGAAGTCAACTAGACAGCGTTGACCTGTCTACATCGTGAGTTCTTAGTTTCCTTGGAAGACATGAGAATTCTGGAAGAGAACGCAGTATGGAGAGTAATATTGTCTACAAATCTGTGGATAGGGCAATTAGTTACTCTCAACAATAGTTGATCATCCATCGCGTATCTGTTGAACATCGTGCCGGTCGACTGGTTGGAGAATTTTCCTTTCGTGCGCCTCAAGAGATTTTCTTTATATGTTCTGGTTCCCACGAAAAGTTATATCCTGTATTGTTCAGAGAACATCGTGAGAACTAAGGGAAATAAGGTAGGAATTGGTGTTCCTCTTGAATTTCTGGAGGTTATATGCCTCGAGGAACACCTCCCTTGACAATGTGTTCCAGAGCCCCGCTGTTCGTTGGATGAACAAGTCTTCGGAAAGAGATTTTCTGCAGGTCTCCAAAGTGACCCACGAAGGGGTGCGAAGCCTCAACTCGACGGGTTAATCTCGCGGGGACTGCCAAGGCAGGAACTATTGTTGATATCTCAGAAGAGCATCGTCCATGAAAAAATCTATAAAATAGAGCCAGATCGCCAAGTTTTCTACGGTGTTCCAGAGAAGTGAGTGAGTTTGTGAGCGAGGCATCACCCACGAATTGGCCTTTTTTGGACAGAATCCAACAGTTTCAGGGTATGTTTGGGTACTGCACTACAAATATGGGAACAGTATTCCAGGACAGGTCGGATCTGTGCCTTATAGATCATAAGCAGCTGACTGGAAGTGAAATAGCTCCTGGCCCGAAACATATAGGAGTAGGAATTGACTGGATTCGTCGGGTCATGACTAGACTTCGCCCATTTGCCCTCGGTATTATTGTTTTTTTTTGTGAGGACAAATAAAGACAAATTATTATTATTATTATAAAACCAAGTTTTTGGGATGCACTTTTAGCAATTGATCTCACGTGATTTTCCCAAGAAACATCATTGCTGATAGTAATACCAAGCACCGAAATGAATGTCTTCAAAGGTATGGTTACTCTTGATAAGCTTATGTTGGGCACAGTGAGATCGGCTTTTCTGGAGAAATGGCATGCTTGTGTTTTGTTTGCATTGAAATCTACATATGGAAATCTACCATTCGAGAATTGTTGCCTAGTCCATATTATGCTGTCAACATTTCTCCCAAATCGTAGATGCCAGCCATTTCTTTCTACATCTGTATACGAAAAATAATAATATACAAAGGTGGCCCGGTTATGTGTAGGATTTTACTTTTTCTGATTTTATTGATTTCAAGTGAACGATATCCAATATTCTAAGTATTCAGAAATTCCCCTTGTTGTATTATAGAAAGGTCGTTCAAGCAGCCGGAGATCGAAGCAGTTGGGCATTCCAGAATCCCGGATATCAATGATATATTATAATTTAACATTTAACGATTCAAAGTGATGGAATATTGATGTCGCCAGCATTGGAATGTAACACGAAAGGAATGTAAAGTAGGTATAAGCGTGGAAGTAATAAAAAACGCTTTTGTCGTTCAAAAAGGACTGCTCATCTACAATCAGTTGAACTGTAGGTAAGATCTAATGTATTATCATTATCCTCTTGCTCATTGCATATTAGCATATACTTAATAGCGAAATTGCTCTAGATTTCAATATTTATCCGCATCCTGTAGGTAGAATAATTAAATTATATTTCCGATCATCCAGTGCACTACAGAGTTTTAATTACATTCATTAAACTCCATACCTACGCTTAATTTGAGATCAACATAAACGTACCTAGTCATTGAATAATTATTATATACGTCTTTTGATCATTCAAAGGATGGCATAGAGCATATTTTCCGTTCTTCCCAATATTCATTTTGTTCTTGTGGGTACATTTTTTTAATTTTCCAGCTAGTGCCTTGATTGTAGCACATATAATTAACTTTTATCACAGTGAAAAACTCAGTTATTTCCATAAATTCAGTGCACATATGTGGTCATCAATTCGCGGGAATCAATGCTACCAGGTGGCGCTCGGTTTTCATTGTTCCATATCAAAGCCACGTCAAAACTGGGGGAAAACAAACTCAATCCCCACCCCCACTCAATCCCATTAGCTTGTGTATTGCATATATGTATATTGCAATGTTAGTCTATGCACTTCATCCATAGACAACAGTTTGTTTTCCCCCAGTTTGAAGTTCGTATTATGTAACCTAGATGGCGCCCACTTCGTGGATCTCGCGAATAGCTCCAGGCTGTAGGTGGTTAAGCCTACAATTTATTTGAACACAATTGCAATTGGTATTTGTTAATGGGAATCATCGCATATATAGATTTCGGTAGGATTCATCATCATTATTAACATTTTGTGGGAATAACTTTGGGTTTTCACTTTTTTCGCGGTAATTCTTTTGTCCTGATGTACACCCTATTTCTGAGAAGAGATTTTCAATCTGAAGAGCTTATAGTCCAAGAGCTGGCTGCAAATTTCGACCCTCATCTGATAACGAAATGATATACAGAGTGGGCCTTTGAAAACGAAACAGACGCTCTGTAGGTCGCCAAAACCGGATTATGAAAAAAATCTGAAACACGCCAAACAACATTTTCGAGGGGACATCGTTCTAAAATATTTTCAGCTCTGCGGCGTTGCCGCTTCTAATGAAAAGAAGCAACAACTTTGTTATTTCAAATGGAACACCTTGTATTTTATTGCATTTTTAGATTCTCCCCCAAGAGCTGATTTCATCAATGCATCACACTTGGGGTCTAGCTGTAATGGTTTCAGGGATATAAAGTGTTCAAAATCGAGATTTTTCAACTTTAGCATTTTTTTGTGTCGAAACTATTCATTATTGGTCAAAACGGCTTTCATGTCCCTATCTCAACTTGTGATTTACTATCTACTAACATTTAATTGGAACAGATACAGGGTGATCAGAATTCTGAATCTTGAACCACCCTGTATTTGTTTCAAATAAATGTCAGTAGATAGTAAATCACAAGTCGAGATAGGGACATAAGCGCCGTTTTGACCAATAATGAATAGTTTCGACACAAAAAAATGCTAAAGTTTGAAAAATCTCGATTTTGAACACTTTATTTATATCCCTGAAACCATTACAGCTAGACCCCAAGTGTGATGCATTGATGAAATCAGCTCTTCGGGGAGAATCTAAAAATGCAATAAAATACAAGGTGTTCCATTTGAAATAACAAAGTTGTTGCTTGTTTTCATTAGAAGCGGCAACGCCGCAGGGCTGAAAATATTTTAGAACGATGTCCCCCTCGAAAATGTAGTTGACGTGTTTCAGATTGTTTTCATAATCCGGTTTTGGCAACCTACAGAGCCTCTGTTTCGTTTTCAAAGGCCCACTCTGTATGTCCCAAAGGCATGTAGAAATCTGCAGTGGGCTCTCCTACTATTAGGTAATAACTGAGCCATTCAGAGTTTGTTATTCCAGTTTTTTTTTTATAGTTCAGATTCTGTTCGAAGGCAATACAAAATGCTGGAGCGAAATTTAAAAAGTGCGTAAAAAAGTAATCTTATTTCATCGTTCTGTCTGACTCACCCAAAGTACTTTATCCGTTTGTGACTGCTCCAATTGAGTTGCTATTACATCTTGAAAGCTAGACTGTTTTTGCAGCTGTGCTGCGTACGCCATCTTGAAAGCATTGCCTAGGATCGAGTTCAGTTCTTCTGCCTGAAAAATAAAAAATGAAAAGATAAAGAATGAGTGTGGTGCAAGCCATCACTGAAATAGATTGATACAATGTGTGAATTGCTGGGATCTTCCACAGATTGGTGAAGAATATTCTCATCATCGCAAAATAGGAATATCACTAAAAATTATTGACCATATCAATATTGATGGTACCTACCAATATTCGGAATCAATTATTGAGGTAGAATTTATTTATCCGAACTATGTATTAATTATGGCACCTAGTACGAAAAACCACTGATGAGTTACCTATAGCTCGTGAAAAATGATCCTCCTGCTTCTTTTGAGATCTTTCTGTATTTACTTTGTTTCATTTTCGAATACTCAATATCCAATTCTCCTATTTTTTTAGAAAACTAAATTATAGTAGAGGATCCGAAGCGAGGTCGACCTTCACCCATCTATTTTCTGGATGAAAATTATTTTATAAGTAATTTAGCATGTTAAAAATAAAAAAAAAATGGGTGGCCAGAAAAAATCCTGGCCAGGCTATAATTGATTGAACATTCAAAAATCACTTTTTTTTCCAATTCCTATGGCGATGTTGTCTTTGGATGTATGACAAATTACAGGGCGTGGAAACAAATTCTGAATTGAGAAAACCTAATCACGAATCTGCGATTAAAGGTCTATAAAGGTTTCCATCGTTCCAGTTATATTATAGAGAGATGAAAATTGTGTATATCATATAGAATGGCTGACTGTGGATAATAGGTCTATGAGCTGAAAGAATAACTGGACTTCAGGTTATACTGAGGAGAATTAGATATCCGAAATGAGTTGATTCGAATGAAGTCATATGACCTGTTTGTGAGAGATATAATTCCCATATCACTGATGATACGAATGTTTTTTTTTTGAAGTTCCATGCTTCCAGTTTTCATGCTCTCCTTTTGGATGTTCGACGTGGCAAATATAACCGCAGGAAAGTAGTTTTCTGTTAAATATTCGGAATGATATTATGTGCATATACATATTTTATATCTGAAGGAGAATGCAAATTATCAATTTTTTTTCTGTTTTCAAATTCTTATCGTGTGAAAGTAATTGGTTTCTGTTGAATAAACCGAGGTAAAACTGCATTTAGCATGCGATGGTTTTTTTTTTCGAAATTTTTTTTTGGTACTTACGTATTTTTGTCTGAAAAACACGAATTTGATAATGAAAATGTGAACAAACCATTATTTATTCAGATATTTCACTATAAACTTACAAATATCACCTTCTTTTCGGTCTGTCTTCTGGATTGAATTTAAAACAATTTACCCTTCTTTTTTCATCATTTGACAATGTAAGACACATTTTTTTCTATTATTGAGTCAACTAGAAATATGATTTTCTTGTGATTTATCCATATTTACTGAAAAGAAGGAAGAATATATCATTTAAAATAATGGCGTGATCGTGGTAATGTCATTCAAAAGCACTCTGTTGACATTTGACATCTCGTATTTGGATTGACTATTAATTAAATGGCCGTCATCTGGTATGCTTGTTCACTAAATATGAAAAACTCGCCATAAAAATCATATTTCCTGTTCAATTTTCTGTATAAAAATGTGTCATTGAAGTACATCATGGGTATATAAAGTTCCAATGACAAAATAAGAAGAGCAAGTACCTGTAAATGCATCCAACACAAGGGGAAAAAGGAGGAGGAGGAGGAACTTTTTTTTGAAATATCTCGATAAATAGTGGTTAGTTCACATTATCATTATCAAATTCGTGTTTTGCAGACAAGAACTATTGACATGCGCACTCTCTTACATCCTGTCTTCGTCTATCGCACATCTTTGTCACTTTGCCCCACGTTCCAGTCAAGACAGATTTTTGCGGGCAACCCTGTATCATTTTGTTCGCAATAAAACAGCACTTATTTTTATGTTTCATATATAGATTGAACAATAAGGTGAAGATAACTAGGATCAAAATACCTGTTTATACCTGGCAACCCAATAGTTAGACCAGGAAAATATAGGCAATCCTATACGTTTGCATACAATAGGTATAAGCTTTGTTCTTACGGTTGGTGTACATTTTTTCATTAATCAAAGTCATCGGAAGAAATTAAAAAGTGAAGTGAGTGTTTCAGGTAACCAATTTTTTTTTAAATTTTTAACGTGTTGAAAATTACCTATAAAATGATTGTCATCCAATGAACAGATGGGATCTTAGACTATAAGTGTTTATAACGGATACAGAATAGAAGAAAATAGAAAATATTGACAAAAAATCTGAAAAAAAAAACAGGATAATGAGAAATGAATTGTTGAGGATAACTATCATTTATAAATTCATTAAATCTGTATTTATCATGCGATGGGTTTTTTTCGAAAATATTTTTGGTATTTTTGTCTGAAAACACGATTTTGATAATGAAAATGTGAACAAACCATTATTTATCGAGATATTTCAAGAAAAAGTTCGAAATTTCGCCTTCTTTCTCCTCTTGTCTTGGATGCATTTGCAGCTACTTGCTCTTCTTATCTTGTCATTGGACACTTTCTATATTCATGATGTACTTCAATGACACATTTTAAGATAGAAAATTCAAAAGGGAATATGATGTTTATGGCGAGATTTTTCCTATTTAGTGAGCAAGCATACCAGATGACGGCCATATAATCAATATTCAATCCAAATACGAGATGTCAAATGTCAATAGATTGCTTTGGAATGACATTACACACGCCATTATTTCTGTTACGTCTTCAATGGATAAAAATGATATTTTATATTTCTGAAGACAGTGATTGAAAAGTTATTTTATTTATTAAACAATTGACAATGACATCATGTACCACTAAAATAATGATTACTGAATCTACGGAGTTGATACAGGATGTATGATTGTTCTGCCAATATCTCCCTTCTTTTAATGAAGACTGTAGTCTTCTAACATCCTAGGAGATCGACGTACTCTCATTGACCGCCTATGAAGTGGCTGGGTGTTAACTTGCTCGCTAGATGGTCCCTGTTCACTTGGTTGATCTTGTTCAACATCTTGAACTCCTCGATCATCATGCTGAACAGGTTCTTCCAATATATCGACCAATTCACTTGGAAAAGTCTTTGCAGCACTGGCTGATGGTTTATTGAAAGTTCCGTCGGTATTTTCGTCGTTACATTCCTGGTTATCATCACGATTTTGTAAACCGAATGATTCGATGAGAATATTCAACGGAATTCTAGTTGGTTCACAGGATGGTAGTGTTTCAAGTTGCTCACTTCGTGAACGGAGTTGATTTGCATGTGATCTTATGAGGTTACCTCCTCTACTTGTTTCAAGAAGGACATTATACATCACGTTGCCAATCTTCTCAATAATTTCTCCAGGAGACCAGTGGTATGTGTTGTTTCTGTAAACTTTGGCGTAGACTAAATCTTTTGCTGAATATTCCCTGAATCTCACACCATGTTTTTGATTAAATTGGAGATCTTGTTTCTTCCTAGTAGTACCATCACAAATATCTTGCTTGCACCGAGGTGGTTTGATCAGATCTAAAGTGGTGCGCACTGGATGTCCTAGTAGAAGCTCAGCTGGCGATCTTCCATATGGTGCACTTCTATTCGGGGTGGAACGATACGTTGACAGGAACAGTGTCAGCTGCTCTCCTATATCTTCCCCCTGAATTTTCTTGATTGCTCTCTTGAATGTATCTACGAAGCGTTCCACTTGCCCATAAGACATAGGATGATACGGGGCCGTCCGTAAATGTTGGATTCCGTTTGAAACGCAGAATTTTTGAAATTGTTCTGAGGTGAACTGAGTCCCATTGTCCGATACCAAGAATTCTGGTATTCCGAAACGGGCAAATGATTCTCTCAGAGCATTGATTGTGTTACGGGAAGTTGCTGAACTCATTCGTGAAATTTCAGGCCATTTTGAAAATGCGTCGATGAGAATGAAGAATACCTCACCATTCATTGGACCTGCGAAATCGATGTGCAATCTTTCCCACGGTTTCTCTGGAATTGACCATGATGATAAAGGTACTTTAATTGGAGATTTCGCAGTGAGTGAGCAATTTCTGCATTTTCTGACATAGTCTTCAATCTGCTTATCTATCCCTGGCCAGTATACGAAGCATCTAGCTATAGATTTCATTCTTTCCATTCCTGGGTGACCTTTATGAAGTTGCTTCAGTACCTTTTCATGGAAATGTTCTGGAACAATCACTCTTTCCATAAACATCAGACAGTCTTGTATTATAGAAAGAGAATCTTTCCTGGCATGAAAGGGTTTCACATTCTCGGGAACATCTCTTGAGTTTTCTGGCCAACCAATATTCATGAATTGGATGACCGATTGTAGGTCTGCATCTTTTCTTGTTTCTTCTCGGATCATTTTGTACGTAATGGGAATTGATTCCATAGAAATATTGAAAATTTGTTCAATTTCATCTTCTAGTTTTATACAAGCGATAACAAAATCTTCCTCAGGTTTGTCATGTGAATTGATGAGTCTAGACAAAACATCTGCATGTCCAAACTCTGACGTCTTGACATATTCGATTTTGAAGTCGTAAGCCAACAAGGTAAGAGCCCATCGTTGCAAACGATTTGCTGAATAGACTGGGATTCCTTTTCTTGAACCGAATATGGTGAGAAGTGGTTTATGGTCACTCTGTAGAATGAAGCTCCTTCCAAAAACCATTTTATGGAATTTCGTGACCGCAAATATAATGGCTAAAGCTTCTTTCTCTATCTGGCTGTAGTTTTTCTCTGCAGTTGTGATGGTTCTGGATGCGTGACTGACTGCTTTCATTCTTCCATCAGGATACTTATGCAATATGCATGCTCCGACGCCTGAGTTTGAAGCATCTGCAGCTACTACAATTTGCAGATTCGGATTGTAGTGACACAAAAGGAGTTCTGACTGTAGAATTCTCTTGAATTCATGAAATGCTTTCTCGCATTCTGTTGACCATATGAACGATACGTCTTTTTTGAGTAGAGCATCTAATGGTTGACGGAGT